TTCGTATTTTTTATTTGTTATTGTATTGTATGCAGGATTGAGTAATGCAAAGTTCAACGAAAAAAATTCCGTACTTTTTAAGAATTCTCTTGGTCCCAAAAACGTTCTCAAGATTCATTGTACATCAAAAGACGACGACCTAGGCTACAATTATTTGAGACCTGGAGAAATCTACGAATTTAGTTTTCATGATAGTGTTTTGAAAACCAAATTTGATTGTGAGTTATGGCAGGGACGTGGTCCTACTTACAAGTTTTATGCAAACTTTAGGGCGTATAAAGGTGGCGGTCTGATAGTTCACAGCGGTAAAAAAAACTTTTGGGAAGCTAGAGAAGATGGTATTTACTTTACACATGGTAAGGAAATACCTAAATTAGAGTATAAATGGAGCCCTATAGGAGAGCTCCTACGAGATCATAAAATGTTTTAATCATCTATGTTTAACTACAATTTTATATCTCATGTTCTTGAATGAATCTACCGAACAAATCTTCTTGTTTTTTCTTAAAATAAAAATAAATACAATTTTTTTTTTTTTGAATATTTTTCTAGTCAATGTCGGTCAATGTCGGTCAACGCCGGATTCCGCCAAACAGTATATCGGATTAAGATAGTTTCTGATGTTGACCACATGTCGTCATTTAGTTGGTACATATGGACATGCAATTTAGTTCGTGTTCTTGGATATACATTTTTAAATTTGGAATGTATTTTAAATCGGAGAAGATAGGGTATTAAAGGAAGCTAGTCAAAAGCTCATTGGCGGATGCAGAAAAGGATGCTAACACTCAGAAAACAGTTCAAAGATTGTTCTGACTAAAGGAAACGATATATTTTTCGAATACGAATCTTTTGACTCGTCATTCAAAAACTGTTCTGTTTTAAATAATTCTGCTAAGTTGATACGAGCAGAGTCTCAAGCTGACCAATCCAGATCTTTATCTCAGTTATATGGTTATGGAGCTGGGTTAGGATTGGATTTTAGTGGGATAGGGTTGGATTTTGTTACCAATATAAATAAATAGGTTTTAGTGGTTTACTCTAATAGGTTTGTGGGTTTAATTGATAAAACCCATTGTGGTCATGGATTACCCGTGGATTCATTGCTAAAACCAAAAAGTAATATATATGTATGTAAAATATCTTCTTTTATTTAGGATTTTAGGATGCTTTTTCTATTTTAATATCTAGATACTAGATTTTAACCCGCGGTACACCGCGGGATGATTTAATTTTAAAGTTAGTATAAAAATATTTTGTAAATTGTATCTCCTTATAACATATTTATTTATATCATAGTTTACAATTGTTATTAAGTAACGGTATACCACGAGTCCACAAGATAATTATTAATAAACTGAGGATTTAACCCGTATTAAAGCGGTATATAAATATTGATTCAAATTCGTCCGCCATATAAATCCTTTCCGAAATATAACTCGTTCCGTAATTTCTTAACCCGTCCCGTGATTTGTTTTTATTTTAAAATTTAATGATTATTTATTATATATAAAAGTTTACAAATCATATCATTCTCTAAGACATTTATATTTTAATAAACTGAAGATTTAATATGTATTAAAGCGGCATGTTAATGATATTTAAAATTTTATAAATATTGTTATTAAGTAACATTATACCACGGGACAATTTTTGGTTTTATACAATCTTTTCTAAATGAGACTGATTTAATATGTCTAATATTGGTGGTTTTAAAAAAAAAGGATTTAATCCGTATTGAAGCGGCGGATTAATGATATTTTAATCTTTTATTATTGTTGATTCAAAAACCCGTCCCGCCAAACCCGTCCGGCCAAAAAACTCATTTATTTTATTAATGTTGATCTTATTTATGATATGATTCTGAATCATTGTCTAAATATTTTAATCGATGTAGAACGTTGAACACACATTTTCGTCAATTAGATAATATATGTCCGTTTTTAAAATTTCGAATCACAGTATATGCAGAAAAAAAATTGATTTTTTTTTTACCTTATGTATTATATGATGATTCAAAACAGTTAAAAACAAATCAAACAAAGATGATAGGAGAATCATAATTCTAAATCTTAATCAAATTTTCTAAATATCTAAATTATTAAATATGGAATATCCCGTGTATGAGTTGGGTTAAATATAACCCGACCCAACAAATTTTTTGTGAAGGATTTTAAAAAACGGGTCGGATATCCGATTAACCCAGAAGCATTTTTACCCACCCGTCACCAAAGTGTTGCAAAAATACTAGTATAGATTTTTAATTTGTTACTTGAAAACTTTTTTTGGTTTTACAATAATACAATTATATGTTATTTCTTGGATTTCTTATTATTTATTTATATAGGTACTCATATAATCTATTAAGCCAATGGATTTTATGGTTATGGGTTTGGATATGTAAATTTAACCTATATAAATAAATGGATCTGATCAAACCCTTCCATTTATATCTCGAATTCATGTGGGCTTGGCTCGGATCAGGTCGGGTTACCCATTTTGACACCCCTAGCTGAATGTGCAACTAGGACTGGACATTGATACATGTTACCCGTACTTGACCCATCTCAAAAAAGGTACATGTGACCATAGCGTCGGGTAAAGGGTATTATAACTGTATCACCCATTCGTAAGGGTCTACTATCGAGTATTAATTTTGTTTCAAATACATGTCGTCCTGTTACCCGATTTATTACCCGATCTGTACATACCTGTTTTATTAATGTTTACAATATTACCAATATTTTATAAATATGTTAATATTCATGTAATTTAATAGAATGGAAATAGCAATCTATGGAAAATGGACTTTTCGTAAACAAATACTTATGTTTTGAAATATGAAACTATTATACGGCTATGGAAAATATTTTTACCCAAGAAAGATTAATTAATATGCTGCTGGTAAAAAGTCGAGTATCTAGCGGATTTTCTTTTGAAGATGATTAAATACATCTCCCAAAAACGAAACTGATATTGATTATGAAAAATGACTCTTCCTAGAATACCATTAATTAATTATTATAAAATCAGTTGATTTACACGAATTCTCTAATAAGTAATAACACATATAATATAACCAAAAATAAATGGTTTTATTATAAATTTTTATTTATTTATTATATAGTATTATATTATATTGCATTTTTAAAATATATATATATTTATCATTACTTTATGTGTGTAGATGGAATGGAAAACGTAGACATATCATTAGTGCTTATAATAAGAGGGGCATATTGAATCAATGATTTGCATTTATTTGGATACTTAAATTTTTGTAAGAATTGATGGGATTGAAAGATTTAAAAAGATTTGAGCAAATTTTATAGAATTATTGTTACAAATCTTAGTGGATGATTAGTAGAAATCTCAAGGCATTTGAGAAACTGAAAATGTGAGATCAAAAAAAATTTGTGAGAATAAAAATTTGCATCTAAAATAACATGTCGATCTTCATCTTTAACATGTATGCTATTATAACGTTTATAATTAAGGTTGGCTACTGGTACATACATCTTCTAGACCTTGTTAAACTATTTCTATGATCTATGAATATATTAGTCAATGTTGCATCTTTTGTCTACGTTATTCGATTATTGACTTCTTCTATATTGTTAGATCATATAAATATAACAAGGTGAGTATATAACTATATATGAGGTGTGATTGTTCTTTTTTTTTTCCAACAAAGTGTGATTGTTCTACCCACACTTTTTAACTATAAATTGTCTCGCAAATCATCTGATTTTTTTTTTCTACAATCTTATGGTAACATCCCAGTTTTCCAATAACATGAGATTTGAAAAAAAAAATCTAAATTATCAATTGAACCATAGATTTGGAATGATTTTGATATAAACTAGATTCAATAAGACTGGATTTTAATACATTTCAGAAAATGACCAGTCCAGTAAGGTGAGATTGTTTTAAAGGAATAAATCATCCCAAAATACTAATCCAATATGCCCCTTAAATGTAAAAGTTGAACGTTGAATGAGCTTTTTTCCAGAACAGCACCAAATATTATTGAAAACAAAATTCCTTTAATAAGATGCAAAAACAGGAGCAAAACACTTTGTATAAATAAGCATATCTTTTATATATGTATATCACCCCTAAAACTAAAGAACAAATAAATCTAAAAAAAAGTTCACAATGAATTGTTTTTCTTGTTTTTTACTTGTTATTGTATTGTGTGCAGGATTGAGTAATGCGAAGTTCAACGAAAAAAACTCCGTAGTTTTTAAGAATGCTCTTGGTCCTAAAAAAGTTCTCAGGATTTCTTGTACATCAGACAACGACGAAATAGGCTACATTTTCTTGAAACGTGGACAAATCTACCAATTTAGTTTTCATGATAGTGTTTTTAAAACCAAATTTGATTGTGAGTTATCGAAGGGAAGTGGTGGTTTTTATGATTACAATTTTTATGCAAAATTTAGGGCATATACAGGTGGCGGTTTGATAGTTCACTACGGTAAAAAAAACTTTTGGGAAGCTAGAGAAGATGGTATTTACTTCACACATGGTAAAGAAATACCTAAATTAGAGTATAAATGGATCCCTGGAGATCCCATAGATCCCCCTATGGGAGCGAAGAGCCCCCTATGAGAGCATAAAATGTTTTAATCATATGTTTAACTACGATTTTATATCTTATGTTCTTGAATAAATCTATTGAATAAAATTTTATAATCGATTAAGATAGTTCGTGATGTTGACAACGTGTCATCATATAGCTTGTACATGTGGACATGCAATTTAGTTCGTGTTGTTGGCTATATACATCTCTAAATTTGGGATATGTGGTTATATATTGTGTTATACATCGTGAAACTGACTATCTTTTTCCTTTTAAATATAAAGTTACAGTTTTGAATTCAAAAGAAATATAAATAGCATAGGCTATAATCTAGTTATTAAGATTTTTTTTTTTTTTTTTTTTGGGGACAAATCTAGTTATTAAGTTAAAATCCATAACAACAACAGCATTAGCAGATGGTGAACAGATCTTATTAGTTCTCGTCTCTGGGACCTATCTACTGATACATAGAAGAGCCTTCTTCAACAAAACCAGAGCTGCTTTATAACAACAACACATATGATACAAAAGAGAAAGCTAGAACTCATGATCCTAAGGATTACAAGACATAGCTACTACACTGTCTTGTTTGGTCCATTCTCAATGACTAGACTCCGCTTTGAATCGCCAATGAGTGAAAGTGATGCCACGAGCAATGAGGTAGAGGATGAATGCACCATACGAAGCTGTGAACACAGTCACAAAACCGGTATAGACTATGCCACTAACCTCATTGGAGAAGAACTCCAACAATAGATAACCGTTGATCATTATCACGAGCGCAGCAACAAGCCACGCGATTGTCTGCACAACAAGGTGAGATCGAGCTTAATAAAGCGATCTTTAACGAATGTAGTAAAAGAGTTTGAAAGAAATCCACAAACCTTGTACAAAGGACCGATTTTGAAGCTACCCATGATTTGTTCTTTGGAGACCAAACACAGTAAGGGAATGAGTGCAAAGGGAATTTGAATGGATTGAAGCACGTTAAGCCACTCGTTTAAGACATCGAGTGTAGCTTCCGATGAATCAAACACTAGAGCAACGATAATAGTTGGAATGATTGCGCAGCTTCGTGTGATCAAAGCTCTCAACCATTTCTTCATTTTGAAATTAAGAAACCCGCCCATGATGAATTGTCCCGCGTATGTACCAGTAATAGTGCTGCTTTGTCCAGCAGCTAATAGCCCGATTGCCCAAATGTATAGTATCGGGAACACACCGCCTCCATATTTCTCCTGAAGATACTGTCCCGCGTTAACCAAACCAATGCTATCAGCGAGGTCAGTATTATAAAACCCTTTGGCGAAAACCGTTGTGACAAACAGATTGATCAAAAAGGAGACAAAAAGAGCAATTGTGGATTCAATAGTGTAGTAGTTTAGCGCTTCTTGAACTCGGTATTTCTGTCGTTTATCGACTTCTCTAGATTGAACAAGAGCTGAGTGAAGAAACACATTGTGGGGCATTATAATGCAACCCACAACTCCAACTGCTTTCTGTATCGTTCTTGAACTCAGTTTCGGTACCAAAATCCCTGCAACAAGAAAAAGCTAACTTCTTTAGAACTTAAAAACTGAGTTCCAATAAGAAAATGGATAAAGAGAACAAAGAAAGCCTAACCAATGAGAAGTTCAGAGCCACTTGGCTTAGCTTGACCAAACATCCAAGCGAATGAGACTCCCATAGTAGCGATAAGAACCGCAAACACCGCCTCGAGCTTCCTGATTCCGTAATTCTCAAGAAACAAGAAGACGAAACTGTGACCAAAACACACACATATGAATCAATGAGATACATAACACCAAAAACTCATACCTAAAGATGAAATTCTACAAGACATTAACACAGCTAATCATCAATCAACACAAAATGATTTGAACAAATCCACAGATTAGATTAGCTTAATTGCAATTAGAACCACAAACACTCACTAGAGTTTCCTGATTCCAACAAGAAGACCAAAACTTTAAACACAGCTAATGTTTAATTAACACGAAATCCAAACAATCCATAGATTAGAATAAGCAAAACTGCGATTAGAACCATAAACAAAAAGACAAAACTGGGACCAAAACACACAAATGAAACAATGACACAAGAAGACACAAGACAACAACAAAAACACATGTGTTAAAATCAAGATGGGATTTTGAAAGAATTTAACAAAGATTGAGAATTTGTGTGTGACTTACCAATCAAGAGCAGTGATAAGAACACCAGCCCAAAGAGGCAAAATCCCATTACTCAAAATCTTAATAGCAATAGCACTACCAATAACTTCTTGAATATCAGATCCAATCAAAGCCAATTCAGCCATAACCCACAAAACCATTCTTGCCCAAGTCGGATATTCATCACGACAAAGCTCAGCTAAGTGACGACCTGTCGCAACACCAAGCCTCGCTGACAAAAGCTGAACCAATAGACCCATTGCTGTTGCCCACATAAGAAGCCATAACAACGAGTACCCAGCAACCGCACCGGCTTGAAGATCTCCTTCAAGATTCCCTGGGTCGAGAAACGCAATGCTCATTAAAAACCCAGGTCCGGTGAATAACCATAGCTTCTTCCATGAGAACGGTGGTGCGCCGCCGCATCCGACGCCGTGTTCTAGATCGTCTTCTTCGTTTCTTACGATTTGTACCTTCTCTGTTTCATCGTACGCTGTTTCTTCTTCTTCGTTGATCAGAAGTGGCTCGTTGTTCTCGAGTTGTGACATTTTTCGAGATTCTCTGTTTCAGTTTCGGGTTTTGTGTTTTTCGAGGCTTTAACACGTTATTCTTACTTGCTCTTGCTTTTTATAGGGAAGTTATGTTTCTCATAGTACAAGATAAAGTATAAACACAGACTTTCATAAGAATCTGATCACTTTCTTTTTTTTTGTCGTCTCTAATCACTTTATATTTTTGTAACCCAATTGACGATAAATTAGGGAAAAAATATAGGGTTTTATTTGGTGGAGCCGTGGAGGTAATTCAGATAATCACTTTTTACGGGAAAATTTTAAGGTTTTTACAAGTGTTTTGGCGAGAAAATTGCGGGATCACTTTTAAAATGGTCATTAGAAATTAAAAGAGGGCAAACTTAAAAATGGACTCTCAAATGGGGCATTTTTGAAAAGGGGTATTGAAAAAGGGGCATTTTTAACAATTTCTCTAAATAAAATTATATTTTTAATTGTTACATATATCATAATTAATTCGTCTATTTACGGACACATATTCTATTCCCTCTTCTTTTTCTTTTTAATTTTTCGAAATAGAAAAATTTCATTTGACCGTTTTAAAGGTTTAATTTTTTTTCCAATGTATGATTATAGGAAATGCATTTTTTTTTACAAAAGAATAGATGCATAAGATATAGAAAATTCCATCGCTATTGGAGTCATCTACCATAGTCGCGTGTGTAAGAGACAAAGATGTATATCTTAAATATAATGTAAAAATAATCATCACTCAGAATGTAATTAGATTTGTTGGATTAATTATCATTTGTAATATGATATAATTATATTCTTTCCATTTCATAATATAAGATGTTTTAAAAAAAATGTTTATATTATAAAATGTTTTAAAACTTTTATGTAAATTATAGATTAATTTAATATTTTATAATTATTTATATTATATAGTTTAAAATATATATATATTTTCTAATTTGCGTGTTTTTAATTAAAATATCTTATATTTTGAAACGAAAAAGTTTATTTATTATAATGAAATTACGAAAATTTATTTATTTATATTTGTCTCTCTTTTTACGATTTATTTAGGAGTATGTTTTCCTCTTAGACCAAGCGCAGTGGCGCATGTAGGCGTCGGGTGTATGTAATTTAATATAGAAAAATAATACAAAAGTGGCTTTTCAACAACACCCACATGTAGAGTTGCATTCGGGTGTGGGCATTATAAAAAGGGAAAAAAATTTCTAGTCTCTATCTCTCTCTATCTCTCTCTTTTCTCTCTCTAATTATAATACTAAAAAATTATTTACATCCATACTAACACATTCACCACTGTGGGTGCTCTTATAATATATCAAAATCAAAGGCATGTATAGGGAATAAAAAAGCAAATAAAGAAAAAACAGGTGGTGCGAATCATGCGAAATAAATTGTCCACTTAGGTTGGTGACGTGGTGAGGTCGAAAGAACGATGGAGATGGTGCCACGTCATGCGAAATTAGGGACCACAATCCGTAGATTAAACATGGTTCTCACCTCCGAGATTCTCTTTCCTTTTATTTTGTTTTTGTTGTTTTTCTGTTTTTGGTAAATTTACAAAATAATATCATTCACCAAATTTTTTTTTTTTGTCGTCAAGATTTATTATTAATTGCAAATTATGAGAACTGTTACATAGACGATTCTACAACTGACAATTCCTTCCGACCCTTAGTAGATCCACGACAGACTACACTTTCTTCTTCATAATCTTGATGAATACCTTCAATGATCCACGACCTGACGACACTTCCTTCTCTGCGTAGAATCCTGGCGAACGACTATAATTGTACATCGCTGGAGATCTCCTGCACACTTGCCTCCATTAATCTGCAAATTTGTTAATAAATCGCAATATCTGGGACTCGAACCCCAAACCTCTTGGTGTAGAAGCATTAATCAACCCTTGGTCAACCAATGGGCCAAGGGGGCTTCCACATCATTCACCAAATTTTGTAATTCGTTTTTCTTTTTATGTCGTGCTTTACTCTGTCTTACCTATTGTTGTTTCCTTGCTCTTTTGCTTGACACTGGTGGTTCTATATTGTTAAATTAGATGACCAAAAAAAAAATTGTTAACATAATCTTTTACACATTAAAAATACGAACATTTTTTTGTCAATAAATTATGTTAAATTTAAAAGGTTTAGAAATCGATGGTGCATATAGGCTACAAAGATACGTGAAATATATATATCTAGAACATGGCTTTTATCTTAACCAATTAAGAACAACATGTTTTAGTATAGAAATCAGCTTAAGCTAAAGAGCCAACGTTTCTAGATTCACTATTTAAAACAATAAATGTTTTTTGAATTTCAGAGTTCTCTTTCCGTCGTTTCTACATATATTTCAATCTAACATTTTTTCTAATTTTAAAATGATTTTGAGTTCTAAAATATTACTAAGTTTGAATTTATCATCTCATTTTTTTGTTGATGTTTCCGTATTTTTTTTATTGAAAATGATAACAACATATACGTCCCTCTCGAAATAATAGTTTTGTTCATATTTTTTTCTCTATTTTTACGGACCATTTGATCAATGAATGGCACAACTTTCAAAGAGCAATGTACATTTCCCAAGCTGCGCCAACATATTATCCTATCTTATGTTTCACTTTTCAGCGGGGAAGAAATATGAATCTCTTAACACGTAAAACTCCATTTACTAAAAAACAAGAACACTTTTGGAAGTTTGAAGAAACATAGATATAATCATTTATGTGTATGCTTGCCTGAATTGAAGCAAATAAATTTGGGATTTATCCGTGAAGATGTACATGTATGATGTATATGGACATAGGAAGAAGCATCACATTATCGAATCATCCGTGAAGATGTATATAAATTAATTCAGACTCAGTTTAACTTTTAAATAATTTAACAAAAATATAACATGACATGTAAGAATTAGATTATATAGAAACTTCATCCGAGTTTCGCTCAGTGTTTCGAAATCGGAATCGAAACCCATGAAAAAAAAAAAGCATGTATCCACGAGCCAACCATGTTAAAAATGGCCTATAAAGCATTTTTAATTTTAAAAAATATTTGAAAAATCAATTATGGGCTGTTAACCCCCAACCGGGACCTGCTCTCCAAGATCACCCGAATGACTCTATTATCTGCCAGATAGATGGATCTTGGGTGGAGTCTTGTACCCTGAGTGGTATTGGTTGGATTGTTGAGTCAAATGGAAATATGCAGCATATTGGCTTAAGGAGTTTTCGTCGGTGTTTATCCCCGCTTCACACGGAGTTTGAATCCTTACTTTGGGCAATGAGGTCGCTTACTACACTCTCTATTTTTGATGCTGTCTTTGAAACAGATTGCTTGGAGTTAACTCAAGTCTTAGACACTCCCGATGAGTGGCCTGCTTTTGCTTCGGAGTTAGAAGATTTTAGCTCGTTGAAGTCTCTTTTTCCCTCTTTTATGTTATCTTTTATCCCACGCTGTAACAATATCCGTGCTGACTGCCTCGCAAAAAAGGCACGATCACGCGGTTCTATCTTTTCCCATGTAAGCTCTTCTCTACCGGACTGGTTTTCTCCAGAAGAAAACCGTCCGTTTCTAGCTTGAATGGATGAACTTATTTTGCTGTCAAAAAAAAAAAAAAAAAAAAAAAAATTGTGGTCTAAACCTATTAGAATAAACAAATATTTGGCCCCTAGAAAAACTTGAAAATTTAGTGGCCCTAAACCCATAACCATTGGTTTATTTGATATAATGGATGATTAGTTACTAAGAATGAGCTCGCTTGTTATACGGGTCGGGCATGCGCGATACTTAAAAAAAACTATCACTTTAGAAGCATGAGACTGTTTTTGATACATATAATTTATTTTAATAGTGAAACCTAATTTTACGATCGAACATCATGTGTACACACTAAAACAGAATCAATGAAAGTGGTGTTCAAAATCTATGTGGATTGACATTTGACAGCATCTCTACTGATCGGTGCTGGATGCGCATCGATCGGTTGCAGAGGGCAGTATCTATCTCTCAAAATTTATCAGGAGAAGAAGCAGCAAGCAAGACCATCAATCTCAACATTCAGGATCTGCCTCTTGATATTATCTAAATCAAAGACTCTCTTGTTTGTTTACCTTAAGTTTGATCCATATATGTTGTCTTGTCACCAGGCCCGGCCCAATGTATATAATAGCTTTAGGGCAAAAAAAATTTTTGGGCCTTTTACTAAACATTTGGGCCGGGCCTGCTTGTCACATATGATCGAGTCATGATTCTCGTAGGCGATTATTTTTTGTTATTTGTTTTTTTTTTTTCCGGTGATTAATATTAAAATTAGTGATATGTTTTTAAAGCTTTGTCCCAAAAACATTCATGAGCTCTATTTACGAGCATTATTCAACCTCTCGAAGACATTCATGGAGATGTTTTTTTCTATTGTATGCCTAATGGAAGTTCTTTAATGATCAGACATCACGCAGACGATGCACGAGTAATGTATAAAGCTTGTAATAGAGCTTATGTAATATGTACAATGAATTGACTAAACCGGAACAAACCAGAACTGTACAAGTAAACCACTACAAACCAAAATACATGATCTCATAGAGAAATTGACCGACTCGGACGTTAAATTACGCCATATTATTTTTCTTAACCGACTTAAATCGAAATATATATATATGATGGTAGCTAGGTCTCTTCTTTAGTATAGCTAGGTTTCTCTAGGTCTTAATATATAAGTTTTTATCTTTCTTCGTTCGATCGCAAAACATGAATTCATCATCTCCCAAATCGATTGGTCTCATCCATGAGATATTGTCGAGATTGCCTTCAAAGTCAGTCGCGAGGTTTCGTTGCGTGTCGAAGCCATGTGCATCAATGATAGGTAGTCCATATTTCACGGAGTTGTTCCTGACCAGGTCCTTGGCTAAGCCGCGCCTCTTATTCGCCACCGTAAAAGACGGTGTGTGGAGCTTCTTCTCGTCGCCTTATTATCCATATGAGAAGTCGTCTTCGACTTTTGTAGCAACCGCAAAATTTCATGTGAAGTTCCCTCCAAACAATATACGGATCGGTCATAATAAAGACCGACGATATTTTTCATATGGCTACACCTCTGGTTTGATCTATTTATATGGTGATACGTACGACGATAGACCTGTCATATGTAACCCGTACACAGGAGAGTATGCAGTCTTACCTTATCTGAAACGTTATAGAAAGGCGTATAGCTTTTTGGTGTTTGAACCGATTGACAAGCAATTCAAGGTATTGTTCATGGCTTATCTATCTGGTTGTGATCGTAATCATAAAATTCTTACAGTAGGAACTGGAAATATGAAGTGGAGAACCATAAAATGTTCCTTGAGATATGAAATTGCGAGTGAAGGGATATCCATAAATGGGGTATTGTATTACTTAGGTGAAACGTCCTCTTGGGATAATAATGATTATGATTTAAAGTATGATTATGCGATAGTTTGCTTTGATATTAGGTCTGAAAAATTCACTTTCTTTGAGATAGAAAGGTTTTGTAGATTGATAAACTATAAGGGTAAATTAGCTATGATTTATTTCGAGGATGATGTCAACTATCAATCGTTTGGTTATCGTAAGAAGGATTATGTCGAAGCTAATGACATTAATGAGTTGCATGTGTGGGTTCTAGAGGATATGGAGAAACAGAAATGGTCGAAATATGCCTATACTTGGACCGATGATATATTCTTCCGTCGTCGTCACGTTTCCGTCGCTCCAACGACTGCTTGGGGTGAAATAGTCTTTTCGATGTGTGAGTATACTCCTGGAAAACCGTTTTATGTTTTCTACTTCAATCCCGAAAAGAACACTCTCCAACGTGTTGAAATCCAAGGTTTTGGTGAAGCCTTTGTAGCGTTTACACCTTTGTAGACCACGTAGAAGATCTTAACGTTAACGATTTAAAAATACTCAAGCCATTCAATGCTCCATTTGTGAAGAAAAAGAATCAGAATCAGATTATTCAAATTCAGATTCAGAATGAGACTGAGAAGGGATAAGGAGAAGAAGATAGAGACGATGATTGGAGTTAGGTGAAAGCAATGGGCATGTGATTTTGTGCTCTTTTGATATGTACCCTTTTCACTTTTAGTATTTTAATAAAGTAAGTTTTTGATTTCAAATCAAGTGTTCGTCACTAAAATCGACGCTTGGAAATTCAATATTTGCTTCGTTTCCGATATGTGAGGATTAGTTTATCTCCTTGCTAATGTTTGAATCATAAAATAGCTCGTGCATGAGCTGCTGCTTTTTTGAAGCTCTTATTATTTTTCAAATTGGGAGGTCCCATGAAGTGAGTTCATTATATCCAGAGTTGTGTAATGTTGCGAAATCGTTTTCCCTCGTCTTGCAGTGATGGTGTTGCAGATTTCGCTGTCTATATATGAGCTTGAAGAGCATGGTCGTTGGAATGGAGTGTTGATTATGGAACACATTGATCCTCTGCTTCCATAAATGGTAGATTGATGCATGAGTGACATTTTTTCTTAGTAGAGAAGGTCTTTAATGCAAACAAGTGGACGTCAATCAGTTTTCTTCTCTGCGAGGTCTTAATTAGGACATTCCATATGTCTTTGAGGAAGAAAGGCATCACACGTAATAGAATCAACAACCCAACTCTACTCATCTTGATTTGCAGAGCTGTTTAATTTGGGACGCTAATTGTTGTTAAGAAACTAATTTCATGACCATTGCCCACGTTTGCTTTCAAAAAAGTCTCAGTCACTGGTCTCAACCTAAGGATTGCTTTCCAAGTCCCTTGGTGATTTTTTGACATCCCAGAAACTATTATTTTTGATGTTGTGAAGCTTATGCCAGAGTGCCCGGAGAAAAACATTTTATGAGAATAAAAGCCAAATGAATCTCAGACAAACACTACAAGAAAACATAGCAAGTGAACCAAGACAAGTTGAGATTATGATATTTTCACCATTTGCATTATAACAAAGATCAGCGAAAAATCCTAACCAAGAAAAGGGATTTTAGATTTGGGCAGCTCTAAAAAAATGTTGGCAACATTTCCAAGCTGTAGTCATAGAACTTAACACACAAGAAAGATAGGTTACTGAATAAGGGTATGGTTCACATCTTAAGTAGTCATAGATGACCTTCAAGAACTAAAAAAAGGCAAAACTACGAGGAAAACTTTTTTTTTTGTCAACAACTTTAAATTAAGCTCAAAAGAGTCATTCCTCAGGAATGTTGTTTACATATGTGATATAAGATACAGTTAAGCATTCAAATATCCAATTCAATATCGGTTACCTCAAGGGTTTTGGAAGAGATGGTCATATTTTTGACACGAGAGATCCCAACGAGAAAATTACGAATCATATTCCTCTTTGGTATATCTCTTGGATCAAAGCAGAAACACAAGTTTAACACAATATTAATATCCACGGCAACAAGGGAACCAAGATTTTTATTATGAAACTTGCAGTCTGATGATCACTGAGCTTCTAATACTCAAGCCTGGGAGCATCAATTACAATTGATAGATCTTATTCAGGAAAATCCTTGTGCGCAACATGAGTAAAGAAACGCGTGGGAGCAACATGAGTGAAGCTCAGTAGAGATTGAAAACACACTCGTAAAACTTCTAAGCGATCAAAGAAACTTATAACTAAGGTTTCGAGAGCAGCGCAGCGTGAGATCAGTGTTTCTAGACCCAAATGGTCGGCGAAATTAACTATACTTAGCTTGAGAACTTTGAGAGAAGGTAAAGAAACAGACTTGACACTAGACATGGTTACCTTACATAGCTTTAAGCATACTAAGCTTTCACAAGTGTAAATACTTGGAGGTAAAGAAAACGTACCACTCCCCCATGAATAGTCCCAAAAATCGAGATGTTTAACTTTCAGCTGAATGACTGTGTTGATCCACCACTATTTGTAGTATATTTTGATATATATCCTCACCATCCATATTTCTTTAACCTTCAATTAAAAAGGTTTCAGACTAATGTGAATCAATTTCTTCGAAATTACGTTACTTAAATTATTTATTACTTAGAATTCAGACAAAGGAAGGAGAGAGTGAAGAAAATTAACATTGATCGGGTAAACATCCGTACACCGAACTTATTGTACGACTCACAAACCCTAAACCAAAACAAAATCTTCTCAACGACGGCGTTTCTGGTGACCAATGTGGCAAAGCTGGACTGAAGTGTGTAGATACAACCCTTGAGTCAAGCAGCTCCATTATTGGCGTGAAACTCACACATCTAGGCACCTTGTACTGGTTGATCGAGGCTCCTCTCGAGATGCATAGTCCATGAGCTCCTCGAACGTTCCATTCTTCACCACGCGTATCTCGAGTGGTCCTATCGACTTATCCGCAACCCGACTTTGTCTATACACCGAGTTCAACGACTCCTCCATCTCCAAGCAGCACCGAGCCATGACCTCGTCATTTGGTGGATTGGTTTGATCCTTCACTAGAAGCTCCCAATAGATGACATAATGGCCAGGTATAGTCTTTGTCTCTGCGTAGCTTGTGTACTCGATAACACGAGTTCCTTGCTCTCCAAGTAACACCGATGCATTCTCAACCGCCTTTTGGAGCTCAGCTTCATCGGTTTTATCCGACTCAATGCTAAGCAAAACGTTCTTCCTCCGCACAAACTTGAACTGTGGAGCGGAATTGTAGAATCCAGTCACCTGAAGAATATCACCAACTCTATAACGGTTAAGCCCTGCATAGGTTGTGATCACAAGCTCGTACTCTTTCCCACCTCGACATCAGCTAGCTCTACAAGTTCGGATTTTCGGTTGGGACTTCAAGAGGGAGAAACTCGAAGTAGGCCATGTTGGGCATAATGGTGTAAGAAACCTCAGAAGGTTTACACATTGGTTTCAAGTTGATCCCAAAGTAACTCTCGGACGATGCATACATAGTGCAAGCCATCGGTAACCCGCCGCTATAGTACTCAAGCATCGGGATATACTGAGCCATGGCTCCAGTAACGATGACGTCAAGGTACTTAGTGTTAGGCCAAATTTTAGTAATAATACCTTCCCAATTATTGTCTTGACCACATACCGAAGTTATGAAATCAGCCAGTTCTTGGTCCGGTTTGGTCAAGATCTTGGACATACTCTCTTTAATCGCCGGATCAGATATTCTCGAACTTAAGGTTCCGGTTGAGATATCGTTGGCGAGTTCTTTCCAATTGGTTTGAAGGAACCCAATGGCACGAAGGAGACCAGAAGCGAAGACGGCACCGAGACGGAGGACTTCGTGACGCATAAGGAGACCACAAAGCATCTGAGTGTACATGCTTTGGGACGAGTCGGGACAAAGAATGGCTTCGTTAGGGCTCGTGTACACGTTGTACGGATCGTAAGGACGTCTCTTGAATTGTTCGCTTTTGTAATAACTCGTGAGCACCGGACGTGCCGGTATCCACCGGGTGTCTTCGATTCCGTCTTCACGAACAAAAAATATAGAGCCTTGCCTTTGTCTAATCCGGGCACGTAGCTGTAACAAAAAAAAATTCAATGTTTTGAAATAAAAAAAAAATCAATTTAGATTTAGAGTTAAAATTTAAAATTTAGGAGTTAGGGTTATATTATATATGTACTAATCTTGGAACGTAGCTATTAATATTACTACAAGATAAGATAGAAATTAACTGCAAAGTAGAAGTACAAAAGGGAAATGTAACTTACAGATTCATCACAGGCATGAGAAGACTGTATAAAAGCTGACGTCGGTCCATGTCTTCTTCAATGGTGGGCATCAACTTCCTTTCACCAGCTGATGTCCCAGAGCTGGTTACAAAAACATTAATTCACAATTTTAATTAGTATGTTAAATTAACATTAATTAAGTATACATAACACTAAGATAATATACCTTGTGAGGAACTCGGTGATGGGGTGAGAAGACAAGATCATAGACCGGTCACCATTGGCTATACGTTGAATCTCCGGTTTAAGATCATCGTAGGTAACCACCGGAACTTTGGTCTTAAATGCTTTCCGGTCAGTGAATCCCTTGAGACCAAACCGTTTCAGGTACTCAGTCTCCGAGTTACGACGAAGTATCTCTCTAATGACTTTCTTCTGAACGAAATCGACGTTACGTGTCATCTCCTCAATGAACCTTAGAGCCTTCACGTCCTTAGTGGACGGTGAGTGCATCATCGGAGATCGCAGAGCTGAATCAACGGTCATGATTAAAATGGTTTTTCTTTGTAAGTGGATGATATTAGACTTTGTGTTTGATGATGAGGAGATATTGAAACTCGACGAGTATGGGGTTGTATTTATAGTGGCAAGAAGGAGAAAGCCAACGTCAGCGAATTCCACGTGGACATAAAAGTGGGCTCGGTTTGTTATGGTTAGACCGAGACAGGGGACATGGGGGACCATGAACACGTAATCTTTGGCTAGTTTTGGGCAGACATGTGGGACTCATATGTCTGAGCCACGTTGGCATGTTGCTGTGATTAGGCAATTTATTGTCATGACCGTAGCAGCTATGCGTCAGCCCGTACGTACCAAGCGGTTCCCTTTTATTTGGCTTGTGACTCTGCCTGTCGCCGATAGCGACGGTCAATACTCAAAGCTTTTTCTTTCTTTTGATTCCTTTTTTAATCAGTGGTAATGACATTGTCAATTTGACTAATCAGGATTAAGACTTGGTTAGTTGATTAATAAGAGCACAGTGTGTGAGACTGTGAGGGGATCATGTTGTTTCCAGAGCCCAAGTAAATTCTTTAGTTTTTCTTTCCATGCATTGACGTTGGTTCATTGGATGTAATAAATATAGAAGGAAAATTTTAATTTTAATTTTGTAGTAATAAAAGTAGATGTGTTTGTTTTCTTTACTTATAATCGGAAATTCTGCATATAAAATATAGACTAATCTTGAAACATGTGACAAGCCAATAATTATTATTGAGACAAATATCAATTCACCATGATCTTCCAATCAATAAATCTTTCGACTACTAAATTACCATAAGTTGGTTAAAACTATATAGACCTATAAAAAAAAGATTAAGACGTTGTCCTATGAATTGAAAGGTCGTGGTACGACTACTAGTGGGTACTCATATTTATTGATAATTAAAACTAATTCTTGATTTGGAAGAACTAACTCTAAAGCAATTAAAGGCATGCATGGGACATTTCGTTTTGCTCGATCGTGCCTGTACCCACTCCAACTTGCTGTACCATTTAATTCTAGGGTCTTTGCCTTACCATTTTTTATTTTTTCTGAAAGAGCAAGAGGTACAATTTTTAAGACATACTATGTAGTATTAAAATCATATTTTATTTTGGTAAATAGAGAAAACAATCATTGAAATAAAATAGAAAATTGTTAGGTTGCTTAGCAAATGCACAAAGGTAATGAAAATTTTAAAAATACTCATCACATCGTTGTATTGATGTACCGTTAAAAATATTTGAGGACGATTAAAGCAGTAATTAACGAGCAAAGTGATGAAAGCAAAAAAAAAAAAACCCAAGCCAACTCATAATGTAGATCTTAGACCATATTTTTGTCATCTGTTATCGCGAGTAAGTATAACTGTATAAGGAGACGAGTCTTAAAAATAATAATATATATATTGCAACATTCAAAAATTTTGAAACGTGTATTATGATAATTTTGTATTATTATATACTATTAATTGTTAAAACATATATTTATCCATTTTGCTTTGAGGCAATTCTCGAAAATATCATATGTTTAAGTTTTCGTTCTAAACTAGTTTTTTGTTTTTTTTCAATAATACCAAAAATTCAATGTTAAATTAATCAAAATCTCATTTAAATGGTGATAAAAAAACACAAATATAACTTTTAATTTTATTTGTAATTTATTTTAGTTGAACAAATAATTTTATACGAAAATTTGTGATATTATTAAAAAATAAACTAGTGATTGTACTTTTGAACAAAAACTTAATAGTATAGTATTGAAAGTATTTCTCTCTGTTTATATAACCAAATTAGCAGTTGTGATATAAAATACTATCCTATACTATTATTTTGTTATCTTGCCTGTATCCGAAGATAATATTCAGTCATGGCGATCAGTTGACATGTGGGCCTTAAAATAATACTAAAAATAATTACTGGTATACATAATAAAAGAAAAAGAGGATCTAAGACAATAATTAATGGAATATTGTAATGATAAAAAACGACATACATATGAATATGACCTAATGGGTCTAAATGGTAACCGAGGAATCTGGCTGAATTGCTGAATCTGGCTGAATATATTTGTGTTTTTCTGCGGAATCTGGCTGAATAATTTATAGTTCAAATGGTAACTGCTGAATCTGGCTGAATTTTTTTAAAATCTAATCGACTAAAACTTCTAAAATTATTAGCTAGAGAAATGTTTCGCCGAAACCAAACCGAAACTGACAAAAACACCAAAATGGATCTTAAACTTCATTACCGAAAGAACCGAAATCAAAATATTTGGATACCTGTATAAAACCGAAATACAATTATATATCTAAAACATTAGTTAGTTTTATACCGAAAGGTATAAAAAATCCAAATACCAAAATAATACTATTCATAAAATTGGTATCTGAAAATTTCCCAAAATGATCGAAATGTTATTTGGGTAAGAACCGGAACTAAAAAATATTCGAAGTTTTTTTTGTTCCTAATTGGTTCTTGATTCAAAAAAAACCGAAATGCTCCAAAATACTCGAAACTGAACCAAATTTTAACCGAAATTCTAAAATAACCGCATGTATACTTAATTCGAGAATCGAAATATCCAAAACCAAAAATTACATAATTGAAACCGAACCAAATACTCGAACATCCAAGACTATCCACAAAATAAAATAAAATAAAACAAAACAAAAATATCAAAAATATTAAAAATTATTAGTTCCTAAAAATAAACTTCAAAATACATTATTCAAAAAAACATATCAAAATTTACTATTGAAATGCATCACAGATTCGTTGTTTGATTTCTCTCATATTATTTGCTTGTTTTCTATTTGTTGAAGGTTTGATTAATTCAATAAATCAAAGAATGAAGTGGGACCACTATGATAAAGATCAAAAATTCCACAACAATTCCTCATATACAAATGATGTAACATGTATTTTTTTCCACATAAATTCCTCAAGAATTCCACAATACATGTTACCATTTACAGCCAATGAAAGAAAGAAGAAAAATTGAGGAAGTGACTGATCGCACGGGTCATGCCTTATCTTTGAGCAGACATTTAGGGGGAACACTTGGACCATTTCAACATTTTCTAATATGTCCATATCACTATTCCTTAGTATTGATTACGATAATTTAAATAGTTATTTCCTCCCACTTGTCTGTTATTTTTCTCTAATAGGTTTGAAATTCGTTACTCATTTTCTTGGTCTAACTAATATATTATGTGTCTAAAATAGGCACAAAAAAATTGAGCTCACTTTTAAGCATCACAGAGCTTTAAAAAAAAAAACAATTAAGCTCACTACTTGATGTAAAATGGTTTTATGTAAAAATAATAGCAATTTATCTAGTAAAGGTTATCAATCCGATTAGAAGAAAACTGTTTCAAAATTTGAAGACTCGGAGAGATATCTTTTAGGAGTTGTAAATCAACTTTCGAATTCAAAAATGGAAAAAGGATGGCCACTAATTTTTTTTTTAAAAACATCTATTGGCCCCTAATTAATCATGATTTCTATTTCATGATTCAACATTTCAACTATTCTGCTATTCAGTTGATAATCTTACGTATCAGTCAAACCCGAAATGAGCTAAACTCGTCCACAAAATTAGAAAAGATGGGCAACATGACATGAACTGCGATATTTTCTTTATAATTCAAAGCTATGTGTCTTCAATATAATTCGAAGATCGGATGTTGTAATTATCTCATTGTTATTAACATTATTATTAGTCAAAACAAAATAAAATTATTATTAGTATAGTAGTTAGTAGACAGGTGCACGTTTAATATGTTTGTTGACTTTTTGTCAATAATAGTCTTTAAGACTATTGTTGATATCTCCGTGCGCAAGACATGCAATAATGTAAATTAATCTTAAAATTTCAATTTCAACCCCAATAAAATAAAGAAAATATTTCAAATTTGAAATACAACTGGAAAGGATCAAAGGAGTACTATTTGAATGAATTTGCTTTCAAGTTGTTTTCTGGTTTTGCACCAAGCTTCTTTCAAGTTGTTAAAATGCTTTTTAATAATAATAAAATATGTCAAATTTGCATGCTCTATTTTTTCTCTTTATGTTGTTTCCGGAAACTTTAGATAAATAACGAACGAGATTAGTTTTTAAACTTCTCATGAATTTTAGTGAAAACTTCCGTATAAAAGATCGTGAAACATAACTTTCGACCTCTTAGTAACTTTTAAAGCTAGATCTCCGTCCTAGTCTAGAGATGTACATCTTTATTTACAATAGAAACAATTAGTCCTAGTGTGTGTCACTAAGAATTACAACTTTACAAAAGAGACAATTAGTCCGACTTTATTCACATACACACACTTTGCATTGATTTGCCACTAAGAATTTCCAAATTTAGGAGAATTCTAATTTAAATAATTACGATTTCGAGAGTCTATTTAACTAAAGATAATCTTATTTAGCTTGGCATATGCAGAAAAAAGACTGAGCATTGTAATAGAAAGATAAAGCACGATGACTTTATAGGCAAACACTGTCTTTGTTCTTTCTTTACCATTGTCTTTCCATTACCGTTCTTCTTTTTCTTTGGATGTGAACTTTGACGTGTGCTTGTGCTTTTATTTTTGACGACATATGTGACCTTGTGTTAGATAAATAAAATCTTTGATGTGATATATTTTAGATAATCGGGAATTTAAAAATGAATTCCAAAATAATTATTGGGGTCTTTGATAAAACCGAACATAATTGTCGTTAATTCGTCTACATGACTAACCTCGAACTCTATTAGAGAATCGTAAATCACTAACCAATGGGCTATAAGAAATTCTTTGACTTTTATGTGTATTTTATGTTAATTAACCAAAAACCCTAAATTGTGGGACAAAAATAAACTTCAATGTTTGTTTCTAATTAAGAGAAAACTATATATAATCTGTTATTGCATTGATAAAACAAAACTTTAATGTGTTCGTATTCACGAAAAGATACTTTAATGTGTCTGTTTTAACGAAAAAAAAACTTTATGTGGGTTTGTATTAACAAACAAAAACATAGATCGTGTGTAAAAAACATCTTTGTATAATGTGTCTATTTCCTTTTTCGTTTTCTTTTTGGTGGCCAAATTATCCATCAGCCACTAGTCAAGTTGTCTATCTATAAACTAAAAGAAAACATGTCGTGTACGTATATTAGCATGGGATATTTTTTTACAACAGTTAAAACACTACAAGAAATATGGGCATTGATAGCACCAGAGGATAGCTCATTTTCCCTTACTGCTATTAAAAATGAGTTTGTAATCTTGGTTACTAGATAATAGCGTTTATTAAACGCTAAGATAAAACTTCCCTAAGCGGGAATCTAAAATCACCTAGTCCGCCAACACTTAACCAAATTATTCACTTAAGCGGCAAAATAATAGCTTTTTATCGAAAAACTTCTTAGATCTAAAATAATTTCTCTTTTTCTTAAAAAAACCTCTGAGATCTAAAATTCTCATACCCACGAACTGAATCTCGTCCTAGCCACGTTGAAGAGAACCTCTGAGAGCAATTGTCCCTTCTTTCGATTTCCCTTGCTCTATCCCTCTCTCGTCCTCCCTCTCTGTCATTTTTTTGTGTCTAAAAACTTTGGCGGTTGTACGCAGACCATGTGTTTGATGAAATTACTGCGACGGCGCTGTGGTTGGATTTTGAAAGGGGAACTATGGGTCAGATCTTCAGTTTTCATCAGATTGTTAGCTAAAACGCCGTTTGCTGTCTCCCTCGTTCGTGCGTTCAATTTTCTTCTCAGATCTTCACATCGTTTTGGCTTCATCTCTAAACGTAAGGAAGTGTTGGGGGGGAAGGAGATGTTCTAATGTCCGAATATTGCAGTAATACGTTCTAAATCTCAAGTTCTAATGTTCTCTCCTTTGTGTTTTGCAGGTTGGGTCTGTGAAGCCTGGAGATTCGACTAGTTCTCCCGAGAATCAATTTCAAGTAGCTCAATCCAGTCCTCTTTCTCAAGGTTAATTCCCTGTTAACTGCTTATAGTTCGTCTCTTAGTTTCACCTGCAGATTTTTTTCTCTGCTCTCATCACAAGTCATTTGATATTAACTTCATTACACTCATGAATACAATTTTTTTAAATGAACTTATGTTGTTCGACATAATGCCTCAATGAGAATTCTTTTTCTGATTATAGTTGTTTTGTGAATTAAACTTATTCGTTTATGAGAAGGAAGCTAAGGCGATGCTAAAGATAGAAAATTTGAGGGTCTTGAAACATATTTTAAAGGCCAACGAAGAAAGGAGTGAAGGTCGCTGCCAAGGAAAAGATGGTATGACCTAGATGATTTGTTTTTTTTTTTTTCTAATTTGTAGTAAGATTTCGAACATTCAATTATTGTGTGTTTCTATTTTAAATGTTGAGTTTTTTTTTCCTGTGCTTTGCTTGATTTTGATGCAAACTTGATATTTCGATTAACACTTTTCTGGATGTGAAGGAGTTCGATAAGAGAGCAAGTTTTGGCTTCATTGTTGCCAAATTCAACAGGGACTTGTTATTTTTCAGTCTCAGGAGAAGCTAATTTGAATGTAACTATCTAATTTGAATGTAACTATATCCTTTGACAAGTTTATGCTCTAACTAGCTAGTGTGCAGTTTTTTTTTTTTACTTAATTAAACTCCTAACTAGGTACAGAGTGCAAAAATATATTTCTTTTCTTGACCAACCATAATATTTACTTTGCAGGAGCATCGAGCAGAGTTGGAAAACTAGACCAACCATAATTTTTGTTGAATTATCAATCTCAGGCCATGAAAGGTTCTTTCTATGACTTCTAAGTATCTCTAAAAACGTTTGTTGATGCTTCCGAAGAGTTAAAGCTCTTAGATGATAATGGAGAGCTTGGAAATAAACTTATTGTCTGTCATTTATATACTACTTTCTAAGTTTGAGTTTAATTTTCCTAAAGGTCTTGGTTTTGCTCATTTATGTTTGTTTGCTACATACAAGTGAGAAGGAAGGTGTTTAGGAGAAGGAGCTTGCATGTGGCTGTAGGAGCTTAAGTGGTAAGACGTTTTTTCAAGTTTTAAACTCCCTATTAGCTTAATTCTATGGCTATCATGATTATGTCCAAGCTAACCAAGTACGTAGTATACATATGTGTATGTTTGGTAGATGTATTCCCATGTGTCGATTTCTTTTTTCATTGTCATTTACTTGTCTTCTTGTTCTTTTGTCATTTACTTGAAACCTCTTTTTTTTACTAGCTTATGGTTCTTGTATCAGTTGTGTTATCTTAATCATGACGTGACTCAATAGTTCTTCATGAAGTGTCGTCACTCAAAAATCTTTTGTTTCATGTAGCCTATGGACGGGAGTTCTAATAGGAACAATTGATGAGGAGGTGAAATAGATAGAGGGGAAGAAATTGAAGAGATTGAAATTTGTCTCTTTCCTTATGATGTTAGTATAAGACTTGGTATGATGTTATGTAAGACTTGTTTGACTAATTGGTTAATGTAATATTATTTGTTGATGATTTATAAAATAGAAAAGTTATATATATATGTCCAATTAAGTAAATTTTATAAAATTGGATTCCAATATAAAATTTATTTTATAAAATAAATTAATTTATATAACGAAAATATGTTACGACAGTATATAAAACAGCACTAAACGTGTGTAATAACAAAGTATATTATAGCATTCGACTAATGCTATTATACGAAAATGCTATCGTAAGTGGGGGTCTACCGTAGCGTGCTAAAAACGCTATCGTATGTGGGGGTCTACCATAACAGGGGCATAAGACAGCGTTTATGAAAACGCTATTGATGACATATAATAGCTCTTCTCTCTTGCTAATAATGTAGATATTTCTTGTAGTGAAAAAATCGAAATACTAAAGAGTAAAGATAAAAACCATTTCTGTTCTTAAGACTTTTTATTTTATTTTTTATACAAACTGTTTTTAAGACTTTGATCTGCTAAAGATTTAACACAATGATTCGTAACAGAAATGAATTTAGTGGTTAATTTGTTTTCTATAGTGACATTACATTAAAGCTGTTGTAAAGTACGAAATTTGTTTAGTATGTTTATACGAATTTTGCAGTAACAAAATGTACGTACGTATGCTTATTATTCGGTTTAAGTATCGTTTTATCCGGGTATTCTTTGCTGACGATGTCATGGTATTCTTTGACGGGTCTTCCTCTTCTCTCCAGGGCATCTCAGACGCTATGGACTTATTTGCTAGCTGGTCTGGGCTGAAAATGAATTGTGAGAAAACACAACTTTTTGTTGCTGGCTTGGAACCTACTGAATCCTCTATTGTTCTTAATTCTGGATTTGCTATTGGTTCCTTGCCTATCCGCTATTTAGGCTTGCCTCTTATGAGCAGGAAGCTTCGTGTGTCTGAGTTTGCTCCGCTACTTGATAAAATGGAAAAGAAATTCAGATCTTGGGCTGTCTCTTCTCTTTCATACGCAGGAAGACTCCAGCTGATAAAATCAGTCATTTATGGCCTTGTAAATTTCTGGTCATCTGTCTTTATCTTGCCCCAAACATGCATAAAAAAGATGGAGTCTATGTGTGCTAGATTCCTCTGGACTGGTTCGCTTGACAGGTTGCATGGTGCGAAAGTTGCATGGGCAGATCTTTGTTATCCGAAGAGTGAAGGCGGCTTAGGCCTGAGGAGAATGGGAATATGGAACTCTACACTTTGCTTAAAGCTTGTATGGTCTCTATTTGCTGAGAGCGGATCTCTTTGGGTTGCATGGCACCACCATCATCACATCAGAGGCAAATGCTTCTGGTCGTTGGTTGAATCTAACCGTGACTCTTGGAATTGGAAATGCGTTTTAAGATTGAGACTGTTGGCGCAGCCTTTCGTGAAATGCAGATTGGGAAATGGGCACAAGGCAAGCTTTTGGTATGATAACTGGCTCCCATTTGGTCCCTTAATTCAGTTTATTGGGGAGGATGGTCCAAGTGATCTAAGGATCCCTCTCCATGCTACTGTTGACTCTGCTTACAATATCCATGGGTGGATCCACGCTGCCCCTAGATCTCAAAATGCATTGGCTGTTATTGCTCATCTTCACACGATTAACCTTCCTCTAAATCAAACAGCGATTGATACTTTCTGCTGGGAGATTCAAGGGAAAAGCTTTTCTTCTTTCCCCACCTCCAGAACTTGGGAAGTGTTGAGACCGAAATCGTGCTTTAAAGATTGGTCCTCTTCCATCTGGTTTAAAGGAGCAATCCCAAGGAATGCTTTTACTATGTGGGTTGCTCAGCTAAACCGCCTTCCTACTCGCTCCAGGTTAGCTTCTTGGGGCCTGGATATTTCAACAGATTGCTGTCTTTGCTCTGAGTTTGTTGAATCTAGAGATCACCTTCTCTTAAGATGTGCGTTCAGTATCGAGATTTGGAACTGGATTCAGACAAGGTTGCATTTATCTCCGTGCATCTTTTACTCTTGGCATGCTTTAATTGCTTGGACTAAGCTTAAAACTGATTCTTCTCCTCCAATTCTCCGCAAATTGGCTGCCCAAGCTGCGGTGTCCCACATTTGGAAGCAAAGAAACAACTTTCTTCATAACAACGTATCAAGGCCTGCTTCTGCGATCTGCAAAGACATAGACAGGGAATTGAGAAACACTATCACCGCAAGAAGGTCTCGGAAACGCTTTAGGGACCTAATGATCCTCTGGATCCGCTAATTGTTGAGTGACACTCTCATCAATTTGCTTGTAAACAATGTTTTTTATCTTTTTTTGGGCATTGTTTTCTTTTCTAGGTTAAGCTTATTGTAAAACCTCAACTCTTCATTTTAATGATATTCACATTCCTATCAAAAAAAAAAAAAAAAAAAAAAAAAAAAAAAAAAGTATCGTTTTATCCAATAGAAGAAAACCAGTTGGCTACAACAACTTGAAGATGTGATTTATTTCTCTATATACTAAAGACAGTAGAGATTCTCATTTTCACGAGGACCGCGACAAGTTTTTCGTCTAATTATACGTATCCCTAACTCTACATATAGTAGCATTTCGCAAATACGTATACGAAACCACTTAAAGATAAGGTTGGATAAAGTCTGTGTATTGATTAATTATTTTGGTCTATCCACGAAAAGTCCTAAGTCCTAACATTGAAAAACATGGTGGTAGGTTTTAATCAAATCGTTTAATATTTAATTTAATCCGTATTATTTAATACGAGGGGACATATTAATTTGAATATGTCCGTGACATGGAATCTATATTCAAAGTCAACCTATGATTATAGGACGATTAAATTTGGATTTCTATTTGTAAAAAATATCGTTTACAATTGACGACCCATAACATTTTTTGGGGGTGGTGTTTTTTTTTTTTTTTTTATCTCTTTTTCTTTAGCCAGCAAGTGCTGTTGGCCATTACATTTCTTGTTTTCATTATATAAAATTTTGTATTGCATGCAAAATATGATAAACTACCATGTGCAGCAGAAAATAGGCGGGGAAAACGTTATACAAATATATAAATTTTAGTTAGTTATACAAATAATTTTTTTATTTAGTTATTTTATACACTAAAAAGAAAATGGGATTCATTCACTCAAATGATAAAAAAAAAAGTTGGTAAAATTTGATATTTTTTATATTTTTTTTGTAAACCACAATCAAACTGACTAAGATTTCGTGGTGTAACTATTTCAAATTTTTTTTTTTCAATTTAGTTTGGCGTATATAGATTAGTAAATCCACCATCCTTTTATTTTATAATTTTTTTTTTTTTAAATCACCATTGAACTTTGTTTCATTACTTTTTGCTCTTACCATTATTTCGGTAAAGTTATTTATGCTCCTAAATCAAACTAAAGATTAGTATTATGAATAGAATCGAAATATTTGAAATTACTGTGTATGTATACGATAGATATAACAACGAGTACAATAGTAAAAGTAGAAGTTCGGTGAATGTTAGGGCTGAATTTGGCAGAGCAGTATAAAACATTTTTGTTCAGTCGTTTTCGTTGTCGGGAGGAAATGACCCAAAAACAGTGATGTGTCTATATTAATTATCAGAGACGTCTTGTTTCAATGTTCAATTATCTTTTGGTCACTTCCTATTCTACACGTGTGTTTATGTTTTACACATGTGTTTAATGTACTCGTTCTTCTGAGTGAGTGTAACATTTGATCTATAATTGTGTATTTTGATTTCAGAGTATTTTTAAGTGTATGTCGTAATGGCGAATATATTTGATGGAAAATCAATCTTAGAAATTACAGTAGTGAAATTTTAAATTCGCTTTAGTTAGATGTTATGGGCCTTATGGCGTATGCATTCGGAATTTTAACACAGCAAATTGAGGTGTTGATGTGCATTTTTTAAAAATTTAACAGTATTAGAAAGTTTTAATTTAATTTGACTAACACAATTTTCTTCTGAAAATTTTGTAACCATCATCACTAAAATATTAGAAAAATTAACAAATTTTATATCCCCATCGTAGTTATTATGATCACCATTCAACATTTTTGAGCAAATCGTTTCATTGTAACTATACTGATTTAGCCTGATCCGTTTTTTTGTTTTTGTTTTTTGGTAATAAAGAAAACAATTACTACCGATCCATTTGTTATGTGTTTTTGGTAAGATGATCTTTGCTCTCGGAAAAGCTGTAGACATGCACCGTCAGAGGATTTGAGGATGTTTCTCGGGTGCGGAGAACTCGTGGCAAATCCGATTGAATTAGGATTCCTCTTCCTCCAACGAATGCTATTTCCATTGTTCTTTCCTTGATTTGCAGTGTTCTTTTGTATTGTTGTTTGCTTGTAGATTTTAATTTTCTGATTTTTTTGTTGAGTCTCATGTGTTCTGTAAAAATTCGAAAATTGGTATAAATCTTCACGTGTTTACCAAAAAACAACTCACCATTTAGGTTCTAACTATTGCGATACAATATAGACGAGACACAAAAACAAAAGATAGAGGGATGATTATTTTTAAGTGAAGTTCATCGAAACGTCACATGGCTATGGTTGAAAAAAGACACACTGAATCTTAGCTTTAGCTTTGTATTCAAAACGCAATTAATATGTTCCTTCTTCTTGCATGTTGCTCTCACTTTTTCTTTCACTTCTTTCTTCTCTTTTCTAGGTTTTGTCTCTATCTTTTTGTTTTTCCTACTTAATAAATTTATGAAATATCTTACTTACTTTGATTAGATTCCTTTTTTCTTGTCAAAGTCTTTGATCCCTATGTCTCAAACAAATATTTGTAGACTCTAGCTTAGGTTGAAAATGAGACAAAACATATCTAAAATATTATATTAAAAAATAGAGGAATATAATATATATTGGTTTTCTTTATCAAAAAATATATAAGTTGGTTTAATCTGAGCAAAAATGTGATAAAATCGAATCATACACCAAACAAAACTACAAAAGGAACTGATTTTTGTTTTTGTTTTTTTTTTTGTGCAAAACAAAATGAACCGATTAAAAACATGTTTTCTTGTAAAAAGGTTACAAACAAATGATAATATAACATGAACTCGATGAGAGATGGGCCTCAATCATTTTCTTCCGTGGCCGAAAATAAGCTAATGGGTCTAAATGGTAACTGAGGAATCTGGCTGAATCCGGCTGAATTGCTGAATCTAGTTGAATTTTTAGTAATTTTTAGCTGAATCTAGCTGAATTTTTATATTTCTAAATGGTAACTGCTGAATCTAGCTGATTTTTTTTTGTGATTTTTGGTAGAATTTATCAAAATAATTAGGGAGACTCACAAAAATGCCCATTTTTCAATACCCCTTTTCAAAAATGCCCCCTTTGGCTGTCCATTTTTAAAAATACCCCTTTTATGTACAAAATGACTAAATTACCCTTCTTTTAATAAAAGATATCACAAATATATAAGGAAATATAACAAAATTAGGTCCACAAAATACAAAATATTTTTTGGCGGGAAAAGTGATCCCGCAATTTTTCCCGCCAAAACACTTGTAAAATCTTGTAAAACCTTTAAAATACCTTGTAAAATTTTCCCGAAAAATTTTTTCCCGCCAAAAAAAAATTTTGCGGGAAAAGTGATTCCGCAATTTTTTTGGCGTTAAATTTTTGGCGGGAAAATTTTTGGCGGGAAAAATTTACAAGGTATTTTAAAGGTTTTTTACAGGGTATTTATAAGGTTTTACAATGTATTTTAAAAGGTTTTACAACGTATTTATAAGGTATTTATAAGATATTATAAGATTTTACAAGATATTTTATAAGGTTTTACAAGTTATAAGGTTTTACAAGTTTTTTATAAGGTTTTACAAGTTATAAATACCTTATAAAACCTTATAAGTACCTTGTAAAACCTTTTAAAATACATTGTAAAACCTTACAAAACACTTGTATATACTCTGTAAAACCTTTAAAATACCTTGTAAATTTTTCCCGCCAAAAAAATTTCGCCAAAAAATTGCGGAATCACTTTTCCCGCAAAAAAATTTTTTGGCGGGAAAAAGTTTTACGGGAAAATTTTACAAGGTATTTTAAAGGTTTTTACAAGTGTTTTGGCGGGAAAATTGCGGGATCACTTTTCCCGCCAAAAAATATTTTGTATTTTGTGGACCTAATTTTGTTTCAAATAAGGGTAAAATGGTCATTAAAAATTAAAAGAGGGCAAACTTAAAAATGGACTCTCAAAGGGGGCATTTTTGAAAAGGGATATTGAAAAAGGGGCATTTTTAACAATTTCTCAAATAAAGGGAGACTCACAAAAATGCTCATTTTTCGATACCCCTTTTCAAAAATGCCCCCTTTGGCTGTCTATTTTTAAAAATACCCTTTTTTATGTACAAAATGACTAAATTACCCTTCTTTTAATAAAGATATCACAAATATATAAGGAAATATAACAAAATTAGGTCCACAAAATACAAAATATTTTTTGGCGGGAAAAGTGATCCCGCAATTTTTCCCGCCAAAACACTTGTAAAAACTTGTAAAACCTTTAAAATACCTTGTAAAATTTTCCCGTAAAATTTTTTCCCGCCACAAAATTTTCCCGCCAAAAAAAAAATTTTGCGGGAAAAGTGATTCCGCAATTTTTTTGGCGTTAGATTTTTGGCGGGAAAAATTTTGGCGGGAAAAATTTACAAGGTATTTTAAAGGTTTTTACAGGTATTTATAAGGTTTTACAATGTATTTTAAAAGGTTTTACAATGTATTTTAAAAGGTTTTACAACGTATTTATAAGGTATTTATAAGATATTATAAGATTTTACAAGCTATTTTATAAGGTTTTACAAGTTATAAGGTTTTACAAGTTTTTTATAAGGTTTTACAAGTTATGAAGTTATAAATACCTTATAAAACCTTATAAGTACCTTGTAAAACCTTTTAAAATACATTGTAAAACCTTACAAAACACTTATAAATACTCTGTAAAACCTTTAAAATACCTTGTAAATTTTTCCCGCAAAAAATTTTTCCGCCAAAAAAATTTCGCCAAAAAAATTGCGGAATCACTTTTCCCGCAAAAAAAAAATTTTGGCGGGAAAAATTTTTACGGAAAAATTTTACAAGGTATTTTAAAGGTTTTTACAAGTGTTTTGGCGGAAAAATTGCGGGATCACTTTTCCCGCCAAAAAATATTTTGTATTTTGTGGACCTAATTTTGTTTCAAATAAGGGTAAAATGGTCATTAAAAAATTAAAAGAGGGCAAACTTAAAAATAGACTCTCAAATGAGGCATTTTTGAAAAGGGGTATTGAAAAATGGGCATTTTTAACAATTTCTCTTTAATCAATAATATGACCAGAATGATTAAGAGAATTATTAAAACTTTGATATTTAAAAAAATATTTTAGCATATGTATGAGTTGATTTTGCAAAAAAATTTTTAAAAATTAGATTATCTTAAAGTTATTAAAATTATCCAAAAATATCTATAATTATCCGAACATAAATTAGTCTCCTGTCTATTCTGGTAGTGATTTTATGTATTTGAATTATTCAATATTGTATTCATATCTGTATAATATGACTTATTTTAAAATAAAAATTTGATGTGTAATTTTTGATATCCAAAATATTTTAATTCGAGTTGTGTACTCGTTATTATTTGAATTTTTACGAGAAATAAACATATTTACGTATCTGTTGGTGTTGAAAAAACTGCTGAATCTGGCTCTGCGGAATTGCTGAATCTGGCTGAATTCGGCTGAATATATTTTTGATGTTACCATTTAGTGCCAATATGTTACACTGTGGGCTCAAGTTGAATTGGCCTGTTTCGGTGGGTGTTAATTGCGTTTTCTGTTCTATGTTATTTTTCTTTTTGATAAAAAGCTTTCTTCTTTTTTTTTTTTTTTTTTTTTTTTTTTTTTTTTTTTTTTTTTTTTTTTTTTTTTTTTTTTTTTTCTGTTTTGACCAGCCTCTTTCACGTGAGTGTTATATATATAGAGCAGAGAGAGATACAGAGCTCACGAAAAAGAAAGAAACCTAGATATAGAGAAGTTCGAGTCTTCGTTATGACTTATGACTTATGAGAGTGTTTGCTTTGTGTCTTACTTAGGTAACGATCAACGTAAAGTAAACGACACCAAAATTTAACGAGTTCCCCGAATGGTTACGGCCTTACGGGTACGTCTCGTGAGAGATCTCTAGAGAATACAAGAACAGCTCAAGAAGAATGTAAAACTCACGGCACACAAAGATAAAACCCTAGCTTATATATAAAGCTTCTGTAATTTTCTACGTCGGTTTTACAAACACATGTGCTCACGGGCTTCAATCATTCAAAACCCAACTCTTCTCTTTACTCTTCATATAAGGTGAGGCCCATTAGGCCCAATAGGTAATATGTTTTGGGTCAACACTTCACAGAGTGTTCCTTTGATCTTTCTTATTATGTATGTTCAGTGTATCCTCTTTCGCTTTCACATGTAACATAAAGAAAACGCTGTTATAACGTTGTGTAAGTTTTTGATTGATGGTAAAAATTGGTGGTGAGAGTCCCACGCAAGACGTATTGGTAACTAGCCCGGGAACACGTTAAATACACTGTGTCAAGGTTGAATTAAGAGTGGAGATCAAAGCAACCAAGTGATAAAAACCATTACAAACTCAATTTACTTAACTTTCACAAACTTAATTCTAGTTATCCAACACATCTCGTAAGCTAATTGATTAAATATTTTGGCAGTACCAAACATTTTAAGATTTTTCTTTGCATTATTGACTTTTCAATTACACTTCAAATTATTGTTGGTATGTGGAGCCAAAATTTTCTGATCCCTTCATTGACCAGACGACCGGACTGCACGGTGATAGACAACTGTTATAATTAAAAGTTTCTTGTTTGTTTCTTTGGTTGGTTTCTTGGTTACAGAAACCAGCTAGATCCTTTGTATATTATCTATTGGGACAAACAACTGAAAATATCAATTGTCACATGAATTGGTTTCCAAATTATTATTATTACTATTATTATTTTGCATTGGTTTCCAAATTAGGTTCAACAAAGCTAGATACGGAACAAAACAAATGGATCAATAATAACCAGAAAAAGTAAGATATTTTCGTGACCTACACGAGAGAGACACATCACCAGTTTCAATGGCACTCAGGCCCTTGTATTAATTTATACATTATCTTATATTATATGTATGTAATAGGAACAAAATCAAGAATCAAGTTTCCACAAAAAAAGAAGAAGAAACACTTTCTCAATTCTCTCTAATGGCATTGATAACCTTACTTGAAGTCTCTATTTCTTTACTTTTTTTCTCCTTCCTTTACGGATATTTCTTGATTAGCAAGAAACCTCACCGTTCGTTTCTCACTAACTGGCCGTTCCTCGGTATGCTTCCGGGTTTACTCGTGGAGATCCCTCGTGTTTATGACTATGTAACCGAGCTTCTCGAGGCCTCAAACTTAACTTATCCTTTCAAAGGTCCGTGTTTCGGGGGCCTCGACATGTTGATCACCGTTGATCCGGCTAATATCCATCACATCATGAGCTCAAACTTCGCGAATTACCCGAAAGGAACCGAGTTCAAGAAGATATTCGATGTTTTGGGAGATGGGATTTTCAATGCAGATTCTGAGTTATGGAAAGATCTAAGGAAATCAGCTCAAAGCATGATGACTCATCAAGATTTTCAAAGGTTTACACTAAGAACAAGCATGAGTAAGCTAGAGAAAGGTCTTGTCCCACTTCTTGATTACGTTGCTGAGAAGAAACTAGTTGTTGACTTACAAGATGTGTTCCAAAGATTTACGTTCGACACTTCGTTTATTTTAGCGACCGGGGTTGATCCTGGTTGTCTTTCGACCGAAATGCCGCAAATCGAGTTTGCTAGAGCTTTAGACGAAGCAGAGGAAGCAATTTTCTTCAGGCATGTCAAGCCGGAGATGGTTTGGAAGATGCAAAGATTTATTGGGTTTGGAGATGAGTTAAAGATGAAAAAAGCTCACTCGATTTTCGACCGAGTTTGCTCTAAATGCATAGCTTCTAAGAGAGATGAAATAACCAATGGGGTTATTAACATTGATTCTTCTTCTAAAGATTTGTTGATGTCTTACATGAGTGTGGATACGACCAAGTACAAGTTGTTGAATCCAAGTGATGACAAATTCCTTAGAGACATGATCTTAAGCTTCATGATAGCTGGTAGAGACACCACAGGCTCTGCTCTCACTTGGTTCTTTTGGCTTCTCTCCAAGAACCCAAAAGCCATAACCAAGATTCGTCAGGAAATCAACACAAAACTATCTCCAAGAACCAACGATTTTGATTCTGATTCATTCAGTTCTCAAGAGTTAAACAAGTTGGTGTATTTACATGGCGCATTGTGTGAAGCCCTCAGGCTATATCCACCGGTTCCATTTCAGCACAAGTCTCCTACAAAACCCGACGTTCTTCCAAGTGGACACAGAGTCGATGCGAGTTCGAAGATTGTGTTCTGTCTTTACTCATTAGGGAGAATGAAATCGGTTTGGGGAGAAGATGCATCAGAATTTAAACCGGAGAGATGGGTTTCAGAGAGTGGAAAGTTGATTCATGTGCCATCTTTTAAGTTCTTATCGTTCAATGCCGGTCCAAGGACTTGTTTGGGGAAAGAAGTGGCCATGACACAGTTGAAGACAGTGGCTGTGAAAATTATACAAAACTATGAGATAAAGATCGTTGATGGACACAAGATCGAGCCAGTTCCTTCTATTATCCTTCACATGAAGCATGGGCTTAAAGTTACAGTCACTAAAAGATGTAATATGGTCTGAATATTATGCAATAATTTTGTACTATATTATAAGTATGGAAATAATTATTAGAATTTTGTAAAATACTTGAATAGGAGGGGTAATCTATATATAATAGCAATCTCAATAAATGCTTTTTGCACCTCTGAACGGTTGCGTCTTTTTATCGCAACTTTTCGTGAATTTTTTTATAAATTAACATATATAGTTTCTGGTTATATATTTTTTTTATATAAATTGCATTTCAAATGTCTTCTACGTCTTTTATATGGTAACTCTTCATAAACAGTTGAAACCGCTTACTCGAATTATTGCAATATTTAGTTTATTTTACGAACTATTGCAACCTTTGGTTTATATATTTAGTTTATTTCACGAACAATTGCAACATTTGGTTTATTTTATAAATAGCTATAACATTTAATTATCTACCGCCGCGTCTCTCGGTATAACTTTTCATAAATTTTTATTTATAATTATCAAAATATATTTAAATGAGATTGTAACCGTTTAATTGAACCGTTGCAACATTTGGTTTATTTGACGAATCATTGCAATTTTTAGTTTAGTTTTGTTTCACGAACCGTTGTAATCTTTAGTTTATTTGACGAACTTGATAAACCGTTGCAACTTTTGGTATATCGCAATATTTCATTTATTTTTTTAAACTAAAAAAAATAGATTTTACGTTATGTTTTTTGAGAAAGTTGCAATCCGAGTAAATATTTTATACGGTTGCATCTTTTTATTGTAACTCTTCATAAAACGGTTGCAACCGTTTAGTTGAACCATTGCAACATTTAGTTTCTTTCACGAACAATTGCAACTTTAAGTTTATTTTATAAATATTTATAACATTTAATCATCTACCGTCGGTGTAACTTTTCAAAAATTATTATTTTTAATTCTTAATTTTTAATTACTAAAATATATTTAAATGAGATTGTAACTATTTAATTGAACTGTTGCAACATTTGGATTATTTGACGAATTATTGCAATTTTTGGTTTTGTTTTATGAACCATTGTAATCTTTAGTATATTTGATGAACCATTGCAATATTTGATATATTTGACGAACCGTTGCAGTTTTTGGTATATTTGATATCTACGGTTGCGTCTCTCGGATAAAGTTCTTCATTTTTTAAAAAAATATTTAATTACTAAAATATATTTAAATGAATTGTTGTTACCATTTAATTTAACATAGTAGCATTTGGTTTATTTGACGTTGAACATTTTGGCTGATTCATCAAACCGTTGTAACATTTGGTTTATTATTTAATGCTTTTTGCACTTAAGAATAGTTTTTTAGTTACAAATTAATGTTTTTCTAATATTGATATACTTAATAAATGCTTTTGAGAGTTTATTTATCATAATTTTTGTAAAATATATATTGATTTGTTATTAAAAAAAAATTAAAATTATTACAATTCATTATAATTTTTCGTTTGATATTTTTTTAAACGATTTTTGAAATATATTCCCCCGCGACATCGCGGGGGTCCTGAGTCCTAGTGTTTATAATAAAATTAATATTTACTCAAATAAGTTCTTAGAATACTAGGAGGCTTCCATAGTATAGAAATAGTCGACTGTTACACTTTTCTTTAGATTCATCCAAATTTTCTCGAATTCAAACAAAAATTCATTTTTTTCAATTTTTAATCTTTTGCTCTTATTGCTTTTGTAATCGTAGTTATACACGGCTCGACCGTTGTTATAAATACAAAACAACTTTAGTGCATTCGATTATAACTATTCTAGCTAAATAAGTACGTATTCAAAATCTGTTTTTACCGTTTGCCGAAAAGAAAAAAGAAGAGTTTTTACCGTTGACGTACGGCTCGGTTTTGGGCTTCTTGCGAAAAGCTTCTAAAGCTAGTTGTCCGTCGTAACAAGGTGTTATACAATCTACATTCCGCATTCGCTCTTCTCCTTTTGCAACTCTTCCGGGAAGGACAAATAAACGTCATCGCTTCATCTTGTTCCCACAGCTTCTTTGCTTGGTTGAGTAGATGAAACGAAAACTTGGTTTAATTACTGTCTTATGCTTCTATGTATTTATCTTTTTTGCCATGGAACTATGTGTATAGGTTTCAAATATTTGGATTGTAACATGTTTTCATTATTAATGAAATATTTACAATTTAGCAAAAAAAGAAAAAAGGAGATTTTCTCATTCTTTGGTATAAAAAGTTTTTTTTTTTTTTTTTTTTTTTTTTTTTTTTTTTTTTGTTAAACCCGGGGGTATCCCGGGCCACTGAGTAAACCTCAGAGCCCAGACTAATCCCCATCGGGTGGGCGTGACCCATGGGTAGGCTCGCGCACCGGGTATGCAAATGAATCTAAGACATAATCCATACCCATGTGGCCAAGGGGAATTGAACCCGGGTGCCTTATTGGAATTACCTCCTCAAACACCACTAGGCCAAGACCACTTGGTTAGTATAAAGAGTTTACAAATGAAACATCCGCAAAAATCTAGATCTAGAAACACCGACTAATTAAACAATATGTTCTATCATCTTCTTATAGATAGGTCCAACCTAGATCTGATTTATGATCATAAATTTTCCATACCTTAAAATCCTAGTAAAACACAAACAAATAGAAAGTAATTAATAATGTTGATTTATATATTACACATGTTTATTTGTAATTAATTGCATGAGACGTTACGAAACATTTTTTTATTGACAAGTGGGATATTATTCCCATGATAACACCAAAATTTGAACATCTTTTTTTCATCATCATGCTCCACGAAAGCAATCGCTTTCGTTATAAATTAAGCTATAACTTTTAACTCCAATGTTTCAATACAACACATTTACAAGTTCTTAGATCTAATGGAAACACATTTCCTAATTTTATCTCTGGCCTTCTTCTTTTTCATTTCTCTTAAACTTTTGTTTGGTAAAAAGCAAAGCAAGTTTAACCTACCACCAAGTCCGGCTAGGCCACTGCCTTTTATTGGACACCTTCACCTCCTAAAGAAGCCGCTCCACCGCACATTCCTCTCTTTCTCTCAATCCCTAGGTGGTGCCTCGATTTTCTCCATCCGCCTCGGAAACCGTCTCACGGTTGTTGTCTCCTCCTACTCCATAGCTGAAGAATGTTTTACAAAAAACGACATTGTTTTGGCCAATAGGCCAAAGTTCATTCTCGGGAAACATATTGAGTACAACTTCACCACTATGACTAGTGCGCCTTATGGTGACCATTGGCGAAACCTACGTCGTATCGGTACCCTCGAGATCTTTTCGTCACACAAGCTCAATGGCTTTTTATCTATCCGTAAGGATGAGATCCGACACTTGTTATTGCTCCTATCAAAAAACTCGCAACATGTATGTGAGCTTCTTCTACATATCAAAATATTTTATATAGCAAGAGAATCTTATAAGTCATAATTAACCTATATCGATTTGTGCTAGTAACGTCACTGTCTTATTATCTAGGTTTAAACTTGGCCATGTGCATGTGCTAGAGATGTAGACGCCAAAACAAATATAACATAGGAACTCTACTAAAATATCTTAATAATCTCAGAGAAAAAATGTATATACATATTCTATACCAAGTAAAGATTGGGAAGTATAAATATGAAAATTTGAGAACTAATCCATTTATTTAAGTGATTATAAAATCAGGGGTTTGCGAAGGTGGAGATGAGACAATTGTTTTATGATTTGACTATCAACAACATTCTTCGAATGATAGCCGGGAAACGATATTATGGAGAGGGAACAGAGCAAGATGACGTTGCGCGGCGAGTGAGCCAGTTGATTGACGAGATTGTGTACAGGGCTGGCGCTGGGAATGCAGCCGATTATTTACCGATTTTGCGTTGGATTACAGATTTTGAGAAAGGGGTCAAGGAGTTAGCGAGTCGAGTCGATGAGTTTTTGCAGAGTCTAGTAGATGAGAAACGTGCGGTTAAAGAAAAGGGTAACACTATGATGGATCACTTACTTTTTCTCCAAGAAACTCAGCCTGATTACTATACAGATGTCACTCTTAAAGGAATCATAATTGTAAGTATTGAGGAATTCATAATACTGTATATGTAATAAGAACACTAATCAAACTTTATGATGGCTATTTATTGATTTTGATTCTACAGGTTATGATACTTGCCGGGACTGAAACATTAGCAGGGACTTTAGAATGGGCGATGCTGAATTTGTTGAACCATCAAGAAGTACTAGAGAAAGCGAGGACCGAAATCGATACTAAAATCGGTTTTGACCGGTTAATAGATGAAGCGGATACTAAAAATCTCCCTTATCTCCAATGGATTGTGTTGGAGACCCTACGTCTTCATCCAGCAGCTCCAACAAATGTTCCACATATGACGTCAGATGATTGTATGTTGGCAGGATACGACGTTCCACGTGGTTCGATGTTATTGGTGAACATATGGGCCATGCATAGAGACCCGTCAATATGGGAAGACCCCGAAATGTTCAAGCCAGAGAGGTTCGAAAATGAAAAGCTTAATCAAAAGTTGTTGTCGTTTGGAATTGGACGAAGAGCTTGTCCCGGTGTTGGCCTAGCTCATCGGTTACTGAGCTTGGCTCTTGGATCGATGGTTCAGTGTTTCGAATGGCAGAGAATTGGAGAAGAATATGTTGACACTAGAGAAGAACTTATGGCAATGATGCGTCCTGCAACACCATTGCTAGCCATGTGTAAAGCTCGTCCCATTGTCCATAAGATTCTTGATGCTTTTGCTTGAAGTGTAACTCTCCTTTCTTTGTCTTACTAAATAAATATGTACTAAAAAAAATTATCATGTCAAAAAATCAAATAGACAAACATATAACTACAAATTTTTAAATTTTAATATCTCGAATTAATTTATTTTTTTGAGAAATATAGACTGACCGTTTACTAGGTCTGTTTTGGAGAGCCATAGGTAAAAAGATTAGAGAGTGGCGATGACTTAAAAAGTCAACTCCAGTCTTCTCTCTTTTTGTTCCACCAATAATTTCAATTCTCTATTTCTCTTTCAATCTCATCTTCTTCCTCAATCGACCACACATGTTTCTTCATCCATTGACCTCAAATACTTGACTTTCTCTCCTTCTCCTTCTCTGCATCAAAGCTATGGAGAATTTCTGTTTTCAAAACTCTGTTTATCTCTTTGTAACGATTATGGTTCTTGTTCTTCTTCCTCGTCTCACTCTTTCTGCTACTTCGACGTACACTCGTCCTGAGAAGTTTTACGTCAACTGTGGATCGGATTCTAATGTCTTTTATGGTGGTCAGACCTTCGTTGGAGATAAGAACTCCAGTGGTAACTCTGTTTCCTTCACCAATAAAGGAACTGAAGTCATCGACGACCAATCGTCTGTTGCTCCCGAAATCTACCGGACGGTTAGGATATTCAGACGCCCTTCTTCTTACGAGTTCAAACTTGATTCTCTTGGTCTGCACTTTGTGCGTCTCCATTTCTCTGTTGTGTTTTCTCGGGCAGATCTTTTAACTGCTAGGTTCACTGTCTCTGCAACTTCTGGTTCTAATCATCACTTGAAAAGTTTCCCGCTTCAGAATTTCACTGAGACCCCACGAGTTGAAGAGTTTCTCCTGATGATGGACTCGCTAGAGTTCGAAATTCGATTTGTGCCTGATCATTCCTCTTTGGCTTTCGTCAACGCCATTGAAGTGTTCTCTGCTCCTAATGACCTCGAAATTCAGCCAGATTTCGACAAGAATCTGCATACAATTTACAGATTAAATGTAGGAGGCGAGAAAATCACACCGGATAATGATACCTTGGGACGAACTTGGTCGCCTGATGATGAAGACTTTCTCTACCGAAAAGATTCTGCGAGGAACATTAATTCAACACAAACGCCTAACTACAATACAGCAGGGTCACTGTCAGCCACGGAATTCACTGCTCCTGCTTTCGTCTACAAGACAGCTAAAGCAATGAACCGCAGCTCGAATGAGCGGGTGGGGATGTTGACGAATGTTACATGGTCGTTCAAGGTCAAAAGTAACTATAAACACTTCATCAGGCTTCATTTCTCTGATATTTTAAGTAACTTCTCAGACTCCGACTCCGATTTCTATCTCTATGTAAATGGGTACTGGCGAGTAGATGTAAAGCCTTCAGAGCAGCCTAAGTTGGCAACTCCGTTTTTTATCGATGTCGTGAATGTCTCTGATGGTTCTGGACTCTTGAATATTAGTATAGGTACTAAGGAGGCCGATAAAGATGCTGGTTTTCTGAATGGTCTGGAGATGATGGAGTTTTTGATTAAATCTGGTTCTGATTCTTCAAATAGAAGCAGTTCCCGGGTTCACATCATCGCTGGTTGTGTTTCTGCTGCTGCATCGGCTCTGGTCTTTAGTTTGTTGTTTATGGTATTCTTGAAGCGGAGGAGATCGAAGAAGACTAAGCCAGACGTTGAGGGCACTGTATGGTCTCCTTTGCCATTGCACAGAGGTGGAAGTTCAGACAATAGACCTATCTCACAATACCACAACTCGCCATTACGCAACCTACACTTAGGCTTAACGATTCCCTTCACAGACATTCTAAGCGCTACAAACAACTTCGACGAGGAGTTGTTGATCGGGAAGGGCGGGTTTGGAGATGTTTACAAAGCTATTCTTCCCGATGGAACCAAAGCCGCTATCAAAAGAGGCAAAACCGGCTCAGGACAAGGCATCTTAGAGTTTCAAACCGAGATTCAAGTCCTCTCAAGAATCCGGCACAAACACCTCGTCTCTCTAACGGGTTACTGCGACGAAAACTCTGAAATGATCCTCGTCTACGAGTTTATGGAGAAAGGTACACTTAAAGAACATCTATACGGCTCGAATCTACCTCCCTTGTCATGGAAACAAAGACTAGAGATCTGCATTGGAGCAGCCAGAGGTTTACATTATCTCCACAGTTGTGCAGAAGGAGTAATCATACACAGAGACGTCAAATCCACAAACATACTACTAGACGAGAACACTACAGCCAAAGTCGCCGATTTCGGACTCTCGAAACTCACGATTCGTAATCAAGATCCAACTAATATCAGCCTAAACATCAAAGGAACATTCGGTTACTTAGATCCAGAGTATCTCCAAACACATATCTTAACAGAGAAATCTGACGTTTACGCTTTTGGAGTCGTCCTCCTCGAGGTTTTGTTAGCGAGACCAGCTCTAGATTGTAGTCTACGTTACGAAGAAGCGAATCTAGCGGAATGGGCGTTTTTCTGCAAATCAGAAGGTAAAATCGATGAGATCTTAGATCCGAGTTTGATAGGTCAAATTGAGACGAATTCTTTGAAGAAATTCATGGAGATTGCTGAGAAATGTTTGAAAGAGTGTGGAGATGAGAGACCGAGTATGGCGGATGTGATTTGGGATCTTGAGTATGTTCTTCAGCTTCAGATGATGACGATTCGTACAGAAGCTCATGAAGAAGATAGTACGGCGATTGTCTCCTCTGGTGGTTCGTTGGTGGCTCCGAGGTTGATGGTGAGTGATTCGTTTAGCATGAACTCGTTTGTGAAGAAGGATGATGAATCGAAGAATAGATTTGGATTTACGGATTCGTCGGAGACTCGAGTTTTTTCGCAGTTGAAGATCTCTGACGCAAGATGATAAAATCATTTTCAATTGTGTGTAAAATTATAAATTTCTTGAAATGTGTCTGTCTGGTTCAATTTCAAAATTTAAAAGCCGGTTATTTCCGGTTTATAGATAATCGGAAATATGGAGACGTTTTCCAAGTTGACCAATTATTAGTTATTACCCTTGTTCTAAAAATCGGCCGCCTAGGCGGCCGCCTAGGCGCTGATCGGGTGGGGACCGCGGCGATTTTGTCCAAATCGGTAAAAAAAATCGGTGATCCGATTTTTGTCCGCCTAGACCGCCTAGGCGTCCGCCTAGCCCGCCTAGACGGCGCCTAGCCCAATTTTTTTTTTTTTTTTTACATTTTTTTTTCTTTTTTGGATCTAAAATTCAAAACGTCTCACTTATATTCATAATTTTTTATAAAAATCATAAATTTGACCTTAAATTCTTGTTTTCATGTGTTTAATGCAATTTTAAAAACAAGATTATATAAATTTCTTATTTATAATGGATTAATATATTTTTAAAACATTAAATAGCCCTAAAACTAATCCCCGATTAATCCCCGTGTAATCTCCGATTTTTTTGCTAGGCGCTAGGCGCACCCTCACCGCCCGACTAGCGCCTAGCGATTTTTTGAACACGGGTTATTACACTAGTTAGTTATACGTGGGTCTATATTTAATTTTTTAGTAAATTTTGTGTAAATAATAATATTTATTAAAATTTTGAAGTATATGTTTTTATATGGCTACTTATTGTTAGTATTTTAAATACTTTGGATTTTAAAATTACCATAGAAAATAGTTCAATTTAAATACATAATTAAAACAAAAATCTCTAATACAATTTTTAGGTTTTTACAACATTTATTATAAAAACATATTTTTGTTTAATAGCTCTCTCTTTAGCTTTAGATAATTTGGATGATTGAGTCTTTTTATATACGACATTTTGGCTAATCTCATGAAATAAATTGTTGTAAGGGGACATAGTTGGATGACTTTCTCATTTTGGTATGCACAAATTCACTATTTTTTTTTTGTCTATCTTCAGTGCATTAGTTAGTTTAGCTCTTTTAAAAATAAGATACTATAAAAAAAATACTTATATGCTTATCTATACTTTCTATTTAACAACTCATATTTTTCTCTCATTCTTTTCAATATGAGTACGAATTTCCCTCTTCACAATTTTTTTTTAGAGCTATCACTCTTTCTATCTTTTTGCAAACACTCATTGTCTTTGTGTCATTCTCTATTCCTATTAGGCTATTAGCACATCTACCTTTCATAAATATTCTTAATCTAAGAAATTATTTTATATATATTCTAATAACTAAATTTTACATTATTCTTATTTCCATATGTTGTTTTCAACATTTTACATTTCTCTTCTTTACATATCTATTATTTTTTCTTTTTCATAAATATCTTAATATAAACAATATTAGAATTTAAAAATATTAATTATTATGACGTTTCAAAATAGAGAAATTGTTAAAAATGCCCCTTTTTCAATACCCCTTTTCAAAAATGCCCCATTTGAGAGTCCATTTTTAAGTTTGCCCTCTTTTAATTTTTAATGACCATTTTACCCTTATTTGAAACAAAATTAGGTCCACAAAATACAAAATATTTTTTGGCGGGAAAAGTGATCCCGCAATTTTCCCGCCAAAACACTTGTAAAAACCTTTAAAATACCTTGTAAAATTTTCCCGTAAAAATTTTTCCCGCCAAAAAATTTTCCCGCCAAAAATTTTTTTTTGCGGGAAATGTGATTCCGCAATATTTTTTGGCAAATTTTTTTGGCGGGAAAAATTTACAAGGTATTTTAAAGGTTTTACAGAGTATTTACAAGTGTTTTGTAAGGTTTTACAATGTATTTTAAAAGGTTTTACAAGGTATTTATAAAAAACTTGTAAAACCTTATAACTTGTAAAACCTTATAAAATAGCTTGTAAAATCTTATAATATCTTATAAATACCTTATAAATACGTTGTAAAATCTTTTAAAATACATTGTAAAACCTTATAAATACCCTGTAAAAAACCTTTAAAATACCTTGTAAATTTTTCCCGCAAAAAATTTAACGCCAAAAAAATTGCGGAATCACTTTTTCTGCAAAAAACAATTTTTGGCGGGAAAAAATTTTACGGGAAAATTTTACAAGGTATTTTAAAGGTTTTACAAGTGTTTTGGCGGGAAAAATTGTGGGATCACTTTTCCCGCCAAAAAATATTTTGTATTTTGTGGACCTAATTTTGTTATATTTCCTTATATATTTGTGATATCTTTTATTAAAAGAAGGGTAATTTAGTCATTTTGTACATAAAAATGGGTATTTTTAAAAATGGACAGCCAAAGGGGGCATTTTTGAAACAGGGTATTGAAAAAGGGGCATTTTTGTGAGTCTCCCTTCAAAATATTAATTAGCGAGATGCCTAACCGCGATTGGCAGTTTTAAATCCCAAATTTGTTTTTCTTTCTTACCGCGATTGGCCGTTTTAAATCCCAAATTTGTTTTTCTTTCTTTTTCACATATATTTTTTTATCTAATAAATAAAATATAAAGATATTAAATTAATGAGAATGCTATTGGGATTAACTAAAATTTTTATATTTAGATTATTTTTCATATTTTTAATATTTTCGTTTATAATATAATAAACTTTTAGAAAAACAAAACTTTACATTTCATTATTTTATATTATATATTTTATTACAAAATTTATATTAAGAAAATTTTCTATATTTCTGTATATTTTTCTTATTTTCATATGTTACTTTTCTCCATTTTTACAAAAATCTTAATGTAGAGAATTATTAGAATCTAAAAAATGTTAATTATTTTTACATTTCTCTTCTTTACATATCTATTATTTTTTCCTTTTCAAAAATATCTTAATATAAAAAATATTAGAGTCTAAAATTTTTAATTATTATGAAGTTTAAAAATATTAATTAGCGAGATGTCTAACCGCGATTGGTCGTTTTAAATCCCAAATATTGTTTTTCTTTCTTTTTTCACAACTATTTCTTTTATCTAATAAATGAAATATAAAGATATTAAACTAATGAGAATGCTATTGTGATTAACTAAAAATTTTATATTTAGAATATTTTCCATATTTTAAATATTTTCGTTTATAAGATAATGAAATTTTAGAAAAATAAAACTTTACATTTGATTATTTTATATTATATATTTTGTACAAAATTTATATTAAGAAAATTTTCTATATATTTTTATTATTTTCGTATGTTACTTTTATCCATTTTTACAAAAATTTTAATATAGAAAATTATTAGAATCTAAAAAATGTTAATTAGCGAGATGGCACACCACGATTGGTTATTTAAAATCCTACGTGGACGGCCTCATAAGCTTATGGCTTCGAATCAAAATGTGTTAACTAACGAGATGGCAAATCGTGACTGGTGGTTTAAAATCCCACGTGGACGACATGAGAAGCTTATAGCCTCGACCTTTATATAGATAAATAAATTTAATAATCTTTAAGAAATCAAAACTTTACATTTTGATTATTTATATTATGGTTTTATAGAACACAAGATTATAATTTGAAATATTTCTATATTGTCAAATATTTCTCTTTTTTTGACAAAATTTATATTCAGAATTGTTTCATATTTTTAGATATTTCGTTTATAAATTTAATAATCTTTAAAATATTAAAACCTTACATTTTGATTATTTATATTATTTCTTTTAATAACACAAGATTATAATTAGAATTATTTATATATTTTCAAATATTTCTCTTATTGGTTTTTTTTTCCTTTTTACTAAAACTTTTAAATAGAAAATTATCATAATCAAAATATGTTAATTAATGAGATGTCTAACCGCGATTGGTTGTTTAAAATCCCACGTGGACGGCCTAAGGAAAATGTTAATTAGCGAGATGGCACACCACGATTGGTTGTTTAAAATCCTACGTGGACGCCTCATAAGCTTATGGCTTCGAATCAAAATGTGTTAACTAACGAGATGGCAAATCGTGACTGATGGTTTAAAATCCCATGTGGACGACATGAGAAGCTTATAGCCTCGACCTTTATATAGATAAATAAATTTAATAATCTTTAAGAAATCAAAAATTTACATTTTGATTATTTATATTATGGTTTTATAGAACACAAGATTATAATTTGAATTATTTCTATATTGTCAAATATTTCTCTTTTTTTGACAAAATTTATATTCATAATTGTTTCATATTTTTAGATATTTCGTTTATAAATTTAATAATCTTTAAAATATTAAAACCTTACATTTTGATTATTTATATTATTTCTTTTAATAACACAAGATTATAATTAGAAATATTTATATATTTTCAAATATTTCTCTTATTGGTTTTTTTTTTCCTTTTTACTAAAACTTTTAAATAGAAAATTATCATAATCAAAATATGTTAATTAATGAGATGTCTAACCGCGATTGGTTGTTTAAAATCCCACGTGGACGGCCTAAGGAGCTTATAGCCTCGACTTTTATATAGTATAGATTTTGGATGTAAACATTATTCCGACTTGGTTGGGATTAGACTTGGGATAAATTGGCGAAACTTGAAATTTAAAACTGTGCCTATAACTTTGACATTTAAAAAAAAAAAAGATAGAAATACTTGACAATATAAGTATCATCAAAAAGAAAAAACAACATCCATCAAAAATTTATTATTAGCGATTTAAATATACTTGGATCATAAAAAATATAATTCGATAATACTAATCAAACATGAATACCATAAAGTCATTAAACGAATCATGTATAACATTAATTCGACAAAATGAAATATATCACGTAAAAGAATAATCAAATGTATCGGGGAAAAAAAAAAATCAATCAAACTAATATACATAAGTCAAACCGTGTAATATGGAATGGACTTTGGGACACCTTAAGTAAATATTAGAGAGTGATGTTTCTTCCTTATTGTTCAAACTTCAAACCAATAATTTCAATTCTCTTTTTTTCCTTCAATCTATCTTCTTCCATCCTCTTCACATAAACCATAAATGCTTCTTAATCCATTGACCTCAAATACGTGATTTTCATTATTTAGTTATTTTTTTTTTTTTTTTTTTTTTTTTTTTTTTTTTTTTTTTTTTTATTTATTTAGTTATTTACTCTTCTCTCTCCCGTCTAAGCTATGAAGAATCTCTGTTTTCTAGACTCTGTTTCTCTCTTTGTGATGATGGTGGTTATTGTTCTTCTTCCTCAGCTCACTCTTTCTGCTTCATCTACATATTCTCGTCCCGAGAAGTTTTACATCAACTGTGGATCGCGTTCTAATGTCACATATGGTGGTCGGACTTTCGTTGGAGATATGACCTTGGCTGGTAACTACGTTTTCTTCACCAGTGAAGGAACTGAAGCCATCAACCAATCTGAATCGTCCAATGAGCTAGGGATTTATCAAACGGTTAGGATATGCAAACACCCTTCTTCTTACAAGTTCCAACTTGATTCTGTTGGTCAACACTTTGTGCGTCTCCATTTCTGTGCTGTCTATTCTCGGACTGAGCTTTTAACTGCTGGTTTCACTATCTCTGCTACTTCTGGTTCTAATCATCACTTGAAAAGCTTCTCGCTTCAGAATTTCACAGAGACCCCACGAGTTGAGGAGTTTCTCCTGATGATTGACTCACCTGAGTTCGAAATTCTTTTTGTGCCCGATCGTTATTCTTTAGCTCTCGTCAACGCTATTGAAGTGTTCTCTGCTCCTAATGACCTTAAAATTCCTCAGATTTCGACAACAGTCTGCACACAATTTACAGATTAAACATAGGAGGTGAGAAAATCACACCAGAAAACGATACCTTGGGACGAACTTGGTCGCTAGACGATGACTTTCTCTACCGAGAAGATTCTGCGAGAAACATTTCATCAACACAAAAGCCTAACTACGAGCTGGGGTCAGCGACACAATTCACTGCTCCTGATTTTGTTTACCTGACGGCTAAAACAATGAACCGTAGCACGAGTTTGGGGACGAAGGGGGCATTGATAAAAGTTACTTGGTCCTTTAAGGTCAAAAGTAACTATAGACACTTCATCAGGATTCACTTATGTGATATTTTGAGCGAATCACAAAACTCTGGATCTAATTTCTATCTCTATGTAAACGGGCAATGGCGAATAGATGTAACGCTTTCAGATCATCTTAGGTTGATGACTCCGTTTTATATCGATGTTGTGAATATATCTGATGGTTCTGGACTCTTGAATGTTAGTCTAGGTACTACGGAGTACAATAGAGAAGCTGGTTTCCTCAATGGTGTAGAGGTGATGCAGTTTTTGAAAAAATCTGATTCTTTAGATAGAAGTAGTTCCCGGGTTTACATCATCGCTGTTGCTGTTGCATCGTTTCTGGTCTTGGGTTTGCTGTTTATAATTTTCTTGAAGCGGAGGCGATCAAAGAACAAGAAGTCAGACGTTGAGGTCACTGTATGGTCTCCTTTGCCATTGTACAGAGGAGGTGGGAGCACCGACAATATACCTTTCTATTCGGACAACAATTCGCCATTAGTCAACCTACAGTTAGGCTTGAAGATTCCCTTCAAAGACATTTTGAGAGCTACAAACAATTTCGACGAGCAGTGGTTGATCGGGAAAGGCGGGTTTGGCGATGTTTACAAAGCCACTCTTCCAGATGGAAGTAAAGTTGCTATCAAGAGAGGAAAGGCCGGTTCAGGACAAGGGGTCAAAGAGTTTCAAACAGAGATTCAAGTCCTCACAAGAATCTGGCACAAGCACCTCGTATCTCTAACGGGCTACTGCAAAGAGAACTCAGAAATGATCCTCGTCTACGAGTTTATAGAGAAAGGTACGCTTAAAGAACATCTATACGGCTCGAATCTGCCTTCATTATCATGGAAACAGAGACTAGAGATTTGCATTGGAGCAGCAAGTGGATTGCAATATCTCCACAGTGACTCAGACAGAGCAGTCATTCACAGAGATGTCAAATCCACAAACATATTACTAGACGAGAACAATATAGCTAAAGTTTCTGATTTCGGAATATCAAAACTAGTCATTCGTAATCAAGATCCGATCAGTATCAGCACTAACATCAAAGGAACTTTTGGTTACCTTGATCCTGAATATGCATTAACACGCATCTTGACGGAGAAATCTGATGTGTACTCGTTTGGAGTTGTTCTTCTTGAGGTCTTGTGCGCGAGACCAGCTCTAAACAATAATCTACCTGACGAGGAAGTGAATCTAGCCGAGTGGGCGATGTCCTGCAAATCAAAAGGTATAATCGATAAGATCGTAGATCCAAAATTGACAGGTCATATCGAGCCGATTTCTTTGAGGAAATTCATGGAAATCGCAAAGAAGTGTTTGAAAGAGAACGGAGATGAGAGGCCAAGCATGGCGGATGTGATCTGGGATCTGAAATACATTCTCCGGCTTCAGATGATTCACGAAGATAACACCGCGACGATCTCTAGCTTTGGAGGCGATGTTGGCTCGTTGGTGAATTCCGAATATAATAATGGTGAGTGATTCGTTTAACAATTGAATAACAGATTCATCGGAGACTCGAGTTTTTCTCCTAATTGAAGAACAGATCTCAGAAGCAAGATCAAACTCTAATTTACCAGAATTGTGTGCATTGCAAAGCGTCTCTGGTTTAAATATTTTTAAATTTGGAATCCGGTCACCGTCGGTTTAAGGATGATGATTTTTAATAGATGCAAATTAAATTCCGGTTATTTCCGGTTGTAAGATAATAATACAGTAAAACCTCTATAAATTAATAATATCGAGACCGGAAAATTTTATTGATTTAAAGAGATTTTAATTTATCGATAAATTAATAAAGAAATTTTACTAATTTTCTAATTTCTTAAAAATAATTTATGAAAAGCCAATTTTTCTTTATAATCAATATCTTTGTAAAACAAATTACAAGTAGAAAATAAATTATTAAGTTTAGAAAATAACACAAATTTTTTTAAGATATAGTAAATATATATATTCGAATTTTAGAATTGTACTCTACCAAGAATTAATACAAATTTAAGAAAAACAAACCATACTATATTCATATTTCACTAAATATTTTACATAATATATATATATATATATATATATATAGATAAGTTTATACAATTTTTAATTTATGGTATTGATGGACCCTATGTTTACATAGGATTCTTCAAAAAATTATTATCTTATTAATTTATCGATTTGTGTCATTTTTAACACTGGTCCCGACTCGGGATCGGAAAAATTTATTAATTTATAGAGATTATTAATTTAGCGAGTATTAATTTATAGATGTTTTACTGTATTAAAACAGATGCAAATTAAAAGCCGGTTCTCAAAGAACAAATCTCTTACTTATAAAAAGGGTTATTTGAAGCTTCTCACGCTATCCACCTCACCTTTTGAGAGAGTTGTTTTTAAGCTGCCACATCAGCTACATCAGCTATCGTATTTAAAAATACATCTATCAAGCCACGTCACCAAGCTTAAATCTCATGCGTCCCCTTTGGCTTGATAATGCTTCTTCGATTATTTTTGCAAATTTAATACCAAGCACTAAAAACAAATTAGAAACAGTCATACATATGCCTCTTTAGCTTCTATTCTAAATCTAAAGAATATTATTTTAAGAACTTTGAGTTGGTCTTCCTTTGTTTTGTTTTGCGATGAACATGTAGCGGAATCAAAGTTTTTTATGAGAGAGGTTGTAGCTTGATGGGTAGATTTCGCTGTCGAGGAGGTAGTGATGCCTAAAAGAAGATATTCAGACGACAGAAATCCCAATTTCATGGTCAGAGAAATTGCATTTACTCTGTCAATCGAAAATGGAGACACTCAAATTCACGGTAGTACGCTCAAACCCTAATTGATATATTTAGTTAAACCGTCTTTGTATGCATAGTTAGGAGTAACGTAGTTTTAATATTCATATGTTTGTTATATTGTTCCATTTTAGCATCTAAGCTCTATAGAATGTGTTTGATTTTCTTTAACTGAGGTTGTTCATATTTTTTAGTTTCTCTCGGGTTGAAGTCAGAGACTGTTTCTTAACAATTCGACAGGAAGAGTCGGGAGGAAAATGCTATTAGAGAGATGGAGAAGAAGGAAACGATTCATTGTTGGATCCGGATATGCTTGCCGCAGATGATGGCGTCATTAAGGTCTGCTTCTCTGTCTCTTATGTGTGTTTGCTCGATTTGATTTTTTACTTCGTTTTTATATTTCTGTTTTTTTTCGGTTTTGATTTCGTGGTATCAAGAGCTTGATGGGATAAAGAGGAGATTGAAAGAGATGGAGGAAGAAGCTGCTGCGCTGCGCGATATGCAAGCCAAAGCCCAAAAATAAATAGAAGCTATTCAAGGTTTGTAGCTCTTTCGTTTCTTTGCTTCTGTGTTTTCAAGAAATTGAATATGTTTGCTTGAAACTATCGTTGAATTCGATATACTGGGACTCTGTTGATTGTCTATAATTCTTATACGAAATTGAAGTTTTGTTGGTTTTATGCTGTTGCGGAGAGTCTTCGCTTGACCGCTTAGAGGTACTATTTAGTTGATGTCTGATCTCATTAAAAGATTTGATAGCTCTTACCAAGTTTAGTAATTTTGTCTTTGTTATTCAAAGGATTGTAAGAAGACTTTTACCACTGCATTTTGTTTGGGAGTGTTAAGCAATTACTACGTGACTGTCCTGGGTTTGATTTATTCCATATTCGGTTTGAATAATAATGATGATGGTGGTGATTTTGGCTTTGTTGCATAGGTAGGATTGAAAAGCTTATCATGATGGTGTTGAATTCTTGTCTCTTCGCTCTGTTTCAGGTCGGACCTTCTTGATCTTCTCCATCAAGCTCCAGGTCCGTTCCCTCTCTTCTCTCAAGTTCTCTGTTTTCATTCTCTTCTTTACTCTCTATTTTGTTTCTTTTTATTTAGTGTGAAAGCAAGAGAATGTTTTAAAAAACTTAGAGAGATAACAACTGAAAAGTCTTCTTAACATAGTTATATTAGCCTACTCACTATATTCTTCTTCAAATCATTGATTGTGTCGCCTCTGTTGCTTGCTTCTTGCACTTGATCATTGATTCCAACTTTCTCTTCATGTGCAGGATTTAATAAACGTTCATACTTCAACAGATGGATACCTCATATGACATGATGATTAAATCTTGTAAAGATGCTCAAGAGGATTCACTTGATATAACCCCATCGAAACATCTTATTTGGTTTCCGCTCATAAGACTCGGTCTTTGGGGTGGATCTGTTCAAGAGAATACTCTCGGTGGTCATCCATCCAATGTAGAAGTAGATAGAATTTGTTTTCAAATTGATTTTAGACATACTTTTTGTCAAATAATTTGGCTTTATAATATATACTACAGTCTTAAAACTGAACAATTACTTGTACCATACATGTTTTTGTAAACATATGTTAGATACTTTTTTTTGATAACCCAGTGTCCAGACCACACAGTGATCCGACTAGCCCACTGGGCTTAAGCCCGCGTGCCTGGGATTTTTAAGCCTCCACTTAAGGGCCCCCTGGAACTGGTGGTCTGGGACGCTGCGCCCCGCAGGTAAATTGCGCAGTGGCCAAGTGGAGATCTAGCAATTGCGCGCTTGCGGGGAATCGATCCCTGGCCTAGACCAACATGGCAACTCCTCCACAAGTGGCAACCACTAGACCAAGAACACTTGGTTATATGTTAGATACTACATCACTTGATTATTTCATATGTATTCTAAAGAAACTAAAAAATAATTTAAAACTAAATTATCGAATGTATACCGGGCGTAGCCCGGATTATCCCCTAGTTCAAGTAAAGATTTTGATGTCGTTGATGAACACGTCCAAATTACGAGCTGAAGATCCACCAGGTGCCATTGCAGATCTCGCTGCTTGCTTCAGCTCCGCCGCTCTCCTTCTCATATTCACGGCGGCTGGACCATTTGTCACGGCCTCAATGCAGCTCTCAACCTCAGCAACCTTAAGCTCTCCGTCGACGACATCATTGCTCATCCTTACTCCTATTCCAAACATATCCACAAGCAATCTTGCGTTAAGCGGCTGATCAAACCAAGTCGGATACGCCAAAATCGGAACACCAGTCACAACCGTCTCGATTGTCGAGTTCCATCCACAGTGAGTGACAAAACAAGAGATCGCCATGTGGCTCAGTATCTTCTCTTGTTGACCCCATTCAATAACAACTCCTTGACCTTCTTTAACCATCTTCTGCAAAACGTCGACGTTTTCAGCTTTCTCCTTTGGCCTAATCACCCATAGAAATGGAACTCCTCTGTTTTTCAGCGCTGTTGCTATGGTCTCGACTTGATTCTCCGATGATTTGAGTATGCTTCCGAAAGATATATAAACAACAGAAGACCTAACTTGCTGGTCAAGCCACTCCATATAATAATCATCAGCTTTCCACATATCTAGGTTTTTTCCATCTAGGGCTTTGTCCTCATCAGCTCCCAAAAGAAATGGAGAAACAAGAGGACCAATTGGGATAATAGGTTTAAAATCGAACATCGATTCGATTATATCCGATTCGAGTTCATAAAATGAATTAGCCAAAACCCATTTCACATCTTTCAAGCATTCGACGAATTCCGCCATTAGTGTATTAAAGTTAGCACCGTGAGAAGGTAACATCAATGTCGGGAGATCTCGGACTTCTAACAACGGTAAGGCTGGTAATTCCACTCTTTGATTAGGATCTTCGAGATCGGGGAAAGAGTTTGTCTTCATGTAGTAACGGTAATAAACCGAGAAAACTGCACATGCTTCAATCCAGAGGATTGCACAAGGAATGTTATGAGCAGCTGCAACAGCTGGAACCCATGGAGTAAAAGGTATAGAGATGATGCAATCAAATCTCTTTTCTTCGATGATTTTCGAAAAATTCTTGGCTCCGACTTTTCTCAATGACTCTATGAGAGGTTCGGGGTCTCTTGGATCGTCTTTAGGCAGACCATCAGAAAAGAACACAAGGTCCATCAGGCTTTGCTGTTCATCCGTGGATGAAAGGAGGTCACGGGCTTGTTCAGTGGTGGCGAGAGTGAAGTGTAGGTTGGTTCGAGCGAGATTTTTGACGAATTTGAGCATTGGATTGAGGTGACCTTGGAATGGTAATGCTACCATTAGAACATGTGTTTCTTGAACCTCAATACTTCCCATTATTACGTATAGACTTATTGCAATTTAGAGGTATTAGACTTAAGTTTTGTACGAATTATGAGTTCTAATCTTAGTGGTATATATAACAATCGGTGTTCCAACGATAGATTTAAAATTAATTGTGATTTTCTATCTTTTTGTAAAATTGTTGACAAGAAATCATGTTCTTACCAATTTCTAGTATAGATTTAGGAATTAAATCTATCATTGTGATTTGCTAACCCAATAAATGTTGTTTCAGTAGATTCAAAATAATTTTGATTTTCTATCTTCTTGTAAAATTGTTGACAAGAAATCATGTTCTTCCCAATTTCTGGTATAGATTTTGGAAGTAAAATCTATCGTTGTGATTTGCTAACCAAATAAATATTGGTCAATTAATAGATTTAAAATTAATTGTGATTTTCTATCTTCTTGTAAAATTGTTGACAAGAAATCATGTTCTTATCAATTTCTAGTATAGCTTTTGGAAGTATAATATATCATTGAGATTTGCTAACCCAATAAATAGTGTGAATCATGTTTTATATAATAGTGTGACACATTATATTTTTTTTTCTAAGAATACGTATGAAAAATGTTTCAAATTAATTACTGTCATATCTTCGATTTACATTTTTGTTTAGATTTTATGATTAATTAGCGTCATATCTTCGATGAACTCTCGACCTCTTTTAGTTTTCTCTCGCTGCGGACTTTCACCATCTTATCCTTGCGGCTTTGTTAGGTGTCATCCAAGTTCAACTTCAAAACATTCTATAACATGAAAATCGTGTTTCAAAAGCAACTCATCGTCAGTAATGTGATCTAGAAGCAAGGTTGCCTCTAGCTGCTGGCAACCCTACCGGAAACCTGAGCAATGTACGAAATATATTTGGGGAAGGGAAGTCTCTGCAGCTGATAACACCTACAAATTTGTAGTTAATGAAGCTACGAAGAAAAACATTGGTCCAGACTCCAGAGTCGATAGCATCTCATTAAAAAAAAACACATAACATTTACCCTCTTTTTTCTCACATTGGTTTCATTAAACACAAGATCAAGTGGACAATACATTCTTTAGGGAAATTTAAGCATGGACTTTATCCTCTTTAGATATATAATGGTGAGGTTTAGTGTTGGTTTTTCTGACAAAAGAAAGTGGTTATCCCGGAAGTCTCAAACCTTGTAATCATACATTTATTGCCAAAGAGGTAGCTATGTGTGGAGCTCATCCTTTTGTCCGTAATAAGATTCTCAATTTAGCCTCTCATTTGTTTTGTGTTGCTCAATTTCCATAACTTAGCTGAATTCTTGTACTCAAAGATCTTGTATAGCTGGCTATGCTACTTGTGATGGCGGATCCGAATTTATTTTATTAATGTTGATATATTACACGTGTTTAATTGCATGGGACGTGAACATATCTTTAGTGACGGGTGTGATAAACTCCATGACAACACCAAAACTTGATCTCTCGCTTTCGTCATTGAACATCTTTTTTTCATCATCATGCTCCACGTGAACTCTCGCTTACGTTATAAACTAAGCTATAACTTCTAACCACCATGCATGTTTCAGTTCAACACATTAACAAGTTCTTAGATCTAATGGAGACCCATTTCCTAATTCTATCTCTCGTCCTCTTCGTTTTCATTTCTCTTAAACTTTTGTTTGGTAAACGGCATAGCAAGTTTAACCTACCACCAAGTCCGGCTTGGCCCCTGCCGTTGTTTGGACACCTTCACCTCCTGAAGCTCCCGCTTCACCGCACATTCCTCTCTTTCTCTCAATCCTTAGGTGACGCCCCAATTTTCTCCCTCCGCCTCGGAAACCGTCTCACGGTTGTCGTCTCTTCCTACTCCATCACTGAAGAATGCTTTACAAAAAACGACATTGTTTTCGCCAATAGGCCAGAGATGATTCTCGGGAAACATATTGAGTACAACTCCACCACTATGACTAGTGCGCCTTACGGTGACCACTGGCGAAACTTGCGCCGTATCGCCACCTTGGAGATCTTCGCGTCACATAAGCTTAACGGCTTCTTATCTGTCCGTAAGGATGAGATCCGACACTTGTTACTACGTCTCTCCAAAAACTCGCGACATGTATGTGAGCTTCTACATATCTTAACATTATCTAAATATATATAACTCCGAAAGGAGAAAAACTGTTTATCCATAGTCTTAACCAAAAAGAAGATTGAGAAATATGAAAATGAAAATTTGAGAATAATTCATTTTTTATGTTATTATAAAATCAGGGGTTTGCGAAGGTGGAGATGAGACATTTGCTTTTTGAGTTAACTATCAACAACGTTTTTAGAATGGTAGCGGGGAAACGATTTTATGGTGAGGGCACAGAGCAAGACGAAGTTGCGCAGCAAGTGAGACACCTGATGGACGAGATTGTGTCCAGCGCCGGCGCCGGGAATTCAGCCGACTATTTACCAATCATGCGCTGGATCACAGATTTTGAGAAACGCATCAAGAAGTTAGCGATTCGGATCGATAAGTTTTTGCAGAGTCTGGTGGATGAGAAACGTGCGGATAAAGAAAAGGGTACCACTATGATAGATCACTTGCTTTCTCTCCAAGCAACTCAGCCTGATTATTATACAGACGTCATTCTTAAAGGACTCATAGTTGTAAGTATTGAGTAATCCATATACTATCTTTGAGGACACCAATTAAACATTATGATGGCTGAAAATCGATTTTGAATTTACAGGTTATGATAATTGCTGGATCTGAAACAATAGCATGGACTTTAGAATGGGCGATGTTGAATTTGTTGAACCATCCAGAAATATTAAAGAAAGCTAGGACCGAAATCGATACGAAAATCGGTTGTGACCGGTTAATTGATGAAGCTGATACTAAAAATCTCCCTTATCTCCAATGGATTGTGTTGGAGACCTTACGTCTTCACCCGGCAGCTCCAACAAATGTTCCACATATGACGTCAGATGATTGCATGTTGGCAGGATACGACGTTCCACGTGGATCGATGTTATTGGTGAACATATGGGCCATGCATAGAGACCCGTCTATATGGGAAGACCCGGAGATGTTCAAGCCAGAGAGGTTCAAAAATGAAAAGCTAAATCAAAAGTTGTTGTCGTTTGGGATTGGACGACGAGCCTGTCCCGGGAATGGCCTAGCTCATCGGGTAGTGAGCTTGGCTCTTGGATCGATGGTTCAGTGTTTCGAATGGCAGAGAATTGGAGAAGAATATGTTGACAATAGAGAAGACGAAACTGTTGTCTTGATGCGTCCTGTGACACCGTTGGTAGCCATGTGTAAAGCTCGTCCCATTGTCCATAAGATTCTTGATGCTTTTGCTTGAAGTGCAACTCTCCTTTCTTTGTCTTTGTGAAAATTAATAAAAAAAAAACATGTACTCTTTACATGTGTTCACATAATACTCAAGGTTTTTTTGTGAATGAATTACGTTATGATGTATGATAAGTTAAACTACAAGTTAATCATGTAAATCCTAACATTAGATCACCTACAGATGAAGGAACCACGATGATTCGAGTTTGAGCTACCTTTCTTAGTGGAGTTTTGAACAGATTCAAGTCAAGACACAAGGTTTTTTTTCGGAACATGAACTCGTAAATTTTGTAGTGCTCTTCCATTCACAAAGGAGAGACTAAGAGACTGGAGTTGAGAGAGAGGGAGAAAGTTGAACTAAATCCCACAATATCAAACAACGGATTGTAAAGAAAAGAAGCGAAAACAAGAGATTTAATAATTTATCAATAAAATATGAAGAAGACTAGTTCAACAAAAAGAAGCGTAGAAAATAAATTTATCAACAAAAGATACAAGATAGAAGATTGTTTCAAAAACTTTTCCCAAAAAGTTATATTTTAACGGTTATTATAGGTCTTCTTAAAATCTATTATCGAGTCTTTTTGTCGAGAACATATAGGTTTCGACATTTTTAAGTGTTTTCAGGTTTTTGGACATTTTTTGATAAAATAAAGAGTTTAGGAGAGGAAATAGAGCAAACGCGTCAAAAGGAAAAAAGAATGAAGATCAAGAATAACCAATCGGATCATTGTACCAGTCGGTACAGAAGTCGCCCAGATGTGATCAATTACATCTTTGTACCGATCGGTTTGGTTTTTGTAAAATTTCTTTTTTCTTAGTTTTAGGGCTCCAACTCATTGTGTATAAATACTCTCTAACTTGGAGAAGTCAGGCATACCTTTTTGTGCGATTTTCTAATTTTTCTAAAGTGGTTCTTCTTTTCATAGTTTTGTTTAAAGATTGTTAAAATCTTTTGGTAATCTCTATTCAACTCTATGACCTCTTTTTCTACAATAATCACATGTACGTTGGTCATGTGTGAGTAGTCTTATCATTGAGTTTAGAAATTTCTAATGGATGTTTATTTAAATTTATTTACAAGTTATTTTATTTATGGATTTTCTTCTATTTTTCTATCTTTGATTGTGTTTTCATGCTTTAGTTGAATTAGCCCGATTCAACTATTGCCCTATAATCGTTTTCTTCAAGCCATCAGAAGTGTTGTTTAATCGATGGATCTATCATTAGATGGTCAAAGCTCCCTTAGCCAACCAACAACTGATGTTATTATACTTTGTGAATTGATTGAATTAGGATCTTAAAACTTGTTAGAATTTCTTGAAACAAATGATAGTTTAGTCTTTCGGAAATATTTCTCATAGTTAATTATACCATGAGAGAAGAGAACTAAACTTCAGTCATTCAAATTCAAGAACGAATCTTAATGTCTCCATAGTTAATTTGCATGTTTTTATATGAATTTCCTGATGATTTCTCTTTGCTCAATATTTTTTGTAATTATTTTATTTTATTTATTCAATTATTTTATTTTTGTAAATTTCACACTAGTTCTTTTAACTCTTATTTTATTATAGCTATATCTAAATCTATATAGTTTATTATTTGCTTCTTTGTCTCTATGAATTCAATCCCTAAATACTATTGCGTTAGTATTGTGCACTTGCGGTCTTTATCAAGGATTAAAACATGTCATGTACAGTTTAATAAAACCATAAGCATAAAACGTTTATGA